TACAAAGGATCTCCCTTCCCCTCTTTTCAGGACAGAATATATTCAGTATACATAGAATGTTGTATGTGAATTAGAAATTTGGAGCACTGGGATGGGAGGAATGAAACTGATCTTTCTAGATGAGGAACTGCTATATAGCTCAGTAGTTTAAGTATGGAGGCCAGAGGTTGGGAGTTTAATTCTCCATTGTGTCTCCTTGACAGGAGCTGGACTTGATGATCTATAGGGTCCCTTCCAGCTCTGCAGTCCTAAGATGTTGATGATGGTGACATGGTTGGCTGACATTCTGGACAGGTATTCCTTTTTGCACACTGCAAACTTCTGTTACAGTTTCTTGAATATACAGTACAGAAAAAGACACTGGGTTAAATTCTATAGCAGCAGTTCTTAACCTTGGATAACCCAGGTGTTCTTGGACTGCAATTCCCAGAAGCCTTCACCACCACCTGCATTTGGCTGGGGTTCCTGGGGGTTGCACTCGAAGAATACCTGGGTTACCCGAGGTTGGGAACTACTGCTCTATAGAAAATTAGAATCAGAATTGAAACCTGCAGCCTGTCACTGCTGCCAAGAAAGGACTAATGAACCATCAGATGGCATGTTTAACAGTGTTGGGATTGAGATGGGGGATGCAACTTTATCCTGTTTAGATAAAGATATGCCTGTAACGTGCTATTCTGAGCATGTTACCATAGTCTCTTGAGCCTGAAGGATGCCTACTACTATGCCTATAAACCTAAATGGCACATATTGGATGTGTAACTCATTTGAACATTTAGCAAACAAGCAGGTTGGCCAAAACATGACCTATTGGACCACTGGGCATTGGCAAAGCCTATGCTGAAATATTATGACAAGTTTTGATTGCCACATCAAAGGAGAAAACAAATGGAATGGGGACACATTTTATAAAAGCAATATAGGATGTGGCGTCTATGGTTACAAAGGAACTACGCCTATTTAACTGGAAAAAAAAGAAAAACTAAGCAGGACATGATGGCAGTTCTAAGGTATTTAAAAGTAGGCTGTGTGCCAAGAAAGGCTAAATTATGCGCCAAGAAAAATTAAGGTGGAAAGCACAGACTGCACATTAAGTCTCAATAATACAAAATGTAGGCCATATCCTTTAGCTGTATATTGTTAGGAGAGCTTGTTAAGAACTGTGCATGACAAGCTGACAGTCATGGTGACAGGTCTGTGTAGCTTTGGTGGAGCACTGCACAGAGACAGGGATGTTAAAGTGATGATTACATCTCTGGCCTTGTGACCCATCAAACCAAATGAGTCCACCAGCATCTGAGGAACATTTGACAGTCCTCATGCTCTTGCAAACTTAAGTCTTATGTAGCTCTTAACAGATGAGCATATTTGACAGGCAGACTGCCCTTCGCTTAGCATATCCCAAAACCGTGCAGGCTTGATGATACACAGTAGAAGTGGCCAAAGGGGACCGCAAAAGTTCACTAATGTTATGGACAGAAGAAAAAGGACCTACTTGTTCAATCTGCAAGAAAATAAAGACTTAGGGTGCATGCCTATGTGACCTGGAAGGACGTCCCACTCAACTTAGAGATAAGGATGCATATAAGCAGACAATGCAGGCTATGTCCTAAGAACAATTGTCTTTGAAAGTTAGAATGGCTGAAGTCTATTACTGAAAGGATTGGGAAAGGTCAGCCTGCGAAGTTATAGAAGTTTATTGATGAAGATGAAGAGCTTGGGCTCCCGTAGGAAAATGAAAGAAATCTGGTAGCTGTGTACCAAAATTCGAAGATCAGACTGGTTGATGGATGTGTCTTCTAGACCCACCAAATTCAAATGAATCCAGATCTGTTTAACTGAAGTCAGTTGGACTGCAGTATCTTATGAATCTGTCTGAATGGGCCCGATTTGATTCTGGAATAAGTCAAATATAAAGCACATTCCTAATTCCTGACCATGTTAAACAGAAAAACTCAATGCAGCTCTCTGGATTACTGAGGGTTTTAATGTTCTTCAAGAGGATAGTGCCACCTCATGGCTACTAACAATAAGTGAATTTAAGCAACACACTGTGAGATGATTAGTCAATTCTGCAGTTACCATTTTTAAAAAGTTTGCCTGCCAAACACACAGCAGAAAAAGAGAGAGAGAGAGAGAGAGAGAGAGAGAACAGCTCTTTTAATATGACAAATATGATACAATCAAAATTAAAAGAAAGCTCACAGGGTGGTGGTGCAATATCTGAATCCACCAAAAATAACTTGGATGCAAACGCATTTTAGACATACAGGCTGCTTCATTCCATTCAAGGGACCAAAGCAGTTGGCTAAGCAATTAACTTGATCTATCCTTCTCCGCATCATATGGCATTTGCCTCCAAAACAGTAAATGTGTTTGAATTCCGTAGATATGGCCCCCCTTCCCCCTTCTACAGACACTTTGCCTGTAAAATCATCACTAAAGGTTTATTGTCCAAACACTGGGTTTTCCTCCAGCTGTGCCAAATGAACCATACTAAATGCCAGCCACCATAGTCATTTTCTCAATGTTACTCCTCTAACAGAACCTTCACCCTATTTTCTGCCATGTCTCAACTGTTTACACCATGCAGTTCCTATGCTAACAAAAGTGAAACCATTAACTTACGTTAGTATCTCGGACAGCACCTCTTTAATCATTGCATGGCTGTTGACACATAGTGTGCCTATTGCAGTCTGGAGCACTAGGTGTGAATGATAGGCTTCAAACTAAAAACTGAAGCCTCTCATTGCATGGGACATAACGATGTGCTGGCCAAACTGCTCACACTTCAAACACACCTTCCATATGAGAACATCTGCTCTATTCCAAAATTATATTTGTTGTTAAAAAGGTTTGCATAAAAATATATTGCCACTTAAAATTTCCTTCCCAAAAAGGAAAATTGTCTGAGAAAATTGTGGTGCCTCGCAAGACGATTTTAATTCATTCCATGGAAATCACTACATGGAAATCACTGTCTTGCAAAAACATCATCTTCCAAAACCCAGTCCCCATTGGAATGCATTGAAATCTACTGGAAAAAAAATCACAATCTTGTGAAAACTGTCCATAGAAGAGATCATCTTGCAAAACACAGTTCCCCATACCATATTGGGGAAAAAACCATCCCCTCGCCTGCACTGCCTTTGGAAATTCAATGGGTCTCAAATGGTCTTCCTCCTCTTTCTAGCAATAAAGAAAGAAGATGGTAGGAATCAAAGCAGCCCCCTGGCTTTTGCCCTGATCCTTTAACATAGGGGAAAAAAAGAAAAAATGCAATATAAGACACCACCAGGACTTGCCATCTTTGCAACAGATCCTGATAAAAAGAAACAGATGAAAAGAAATCTAGAAAAACCAGAGAAATCACAAGTACAACCTCTTACTAACATAAGTTACACAGTTGATTTTACCACATTTGGGGAAATCACAAGGATTAACAACATACCTAAAATATAATGGAAAAGCCTTTTGCTAGGAAAACCATTTTTATGACATGGTAGTTCCCCAGAAAGATATAAATTAGAATAATCTTGCACCTCATACCCCCTTCTGTCCCCTGACCCCCAAAAGGCATGGTGACCTCCAGCTGCACCTCCCACTCAGTACAGGGCTGCCCAGCCCCAGTCCTGCCAGAGGCCAAGACAGCTCCTCAGTGTTTTGGGGTGCCCTGTGGGACCCCATCAGGGGCTAGGTGTTCCTCCCACAATCCTCTAGCATGCAGTATTAGCATATGCTAATACTGCATGCTAGAGGATTGTGGGAGGAACACTTAAGACCATGATGGGGGTCCTGCAGGGCACCCCAAAACACTGAGGAGCTGTCTTGGCCTCTCGCAAGACTGGGACTGTGCAGCCCTGTACTGAGTGGGAGGTGCAGCCGGGGGTCACCATGCCTTGGGGGTTCAGGGGACAGAAGGGGGTATGAGGTGCAAGATTATTCTAATGTATATCTTTCTGGGGAACTACCATGTCATAAAAATGGTTTTCCCAGAGAGAATCATTCATTATACTTTGGGTGGGTTATTGATTCCTGTGATTTCCCCAAATTTGGTGAACTCACCTGCATACTTTGTGATATAACAGATTACATTTGTAATTTCCCTAGTTTTTTTAATAATCTTTTTACCCTTTGGTTCTTGGCTTTTTTCAACATCTTCTCATCATTTAAATTTGTAGTCATATCCCCATAGGTGATGCTTTGCAAGATGCTTTTTTCCCCCATTGAAACACATTAATTACATAATTAATTACCCTGGAAAGCCAGCAGCATATATTTTCTCCCCTACTTTTTTGGGATAAAAAAGTAGGTCTTATGGAATCAGTGTGTTTCAATGGGTGGGGGGAAGCTGTCTTGCAAAACAGGGTTAAAAAAAAAATCTTGCTAGGCAAGGACCCAAACATGGTCCAGTGAAAATTGCCCATAGGAACAATTGTTTTGTGAAGCACAACAGAGCAGACCGTGTCTAGATGGGCGGCATAGAAGTGCAACAAACAAACAAACAAACAAACATTGCTTGTGAGGCACCACTGTATTTAACTAGAAAGAGGACCCCAGAAAGACCATAAAGCTTGAGTTTATTTACACTTTTAATAGAAAGCAGACTTAGCTAACAAGCCGTCCCCCACTGCAGATAGATCAGTGGAAGATGAGAAATACTAGTTTTGGAATCTACTCTTGCATTCTCTCACCTCCCACCTAGTAAACAACACAAAATGCCCCCAAAGGCCTCGTGGCGCAGTGGTTAAAACGCTGTACTGCAGCTAAAACTGTGCTCCCGACCTGGGGCTCAAATCCCAGGTAGCCGGCTCAAGGTTGACTCAGCCTTCCATCCTTCCGAGGTCGGTAAAATGAGTGCCCAGCTTGCTGGGGGGGCAATGTGTAGCCTGTATAATTAAAAATTGTAAACCGCCCGGAGAGTGCTTGTAGTGCTATGGGGCGGTATATAAGTCCAATAAATAAATAAATAATAAATAAATAAGAAAGAGACAGATTCATTTGAATTGCTTAAGCAATTTATTCTGGCCCCATGACTGTACTATGTATGCTACAATCATACACTATGGTAAAGCAAAGTTCCAGTTCCACGACACGTCTGTCGAGTTTGATATCCACCTCTCAGTCTTTATACAAAATCAAATAACTGGAAAGGGACTTCTACACCCCCTGGTCCAGCCTTTCTAATTGATACAGAAAATCTAGAAGGAGGGCATCACGACCAATGCCTGCTATTTCGATTCTTCTCCATGAAGATGTCCTGCATGGAAGAACCCCACAGAATAACTTCTACTGAACTGAACTAATTTTTTCATTAGGTGATGGGGGTTTGTGGCCAATCTGCCTCTCCCTTACTTACCACTGCTGAAAAATGTTTGCCCTAAAAATTGGCAATTTTTAGGGCAACTATCCATGTTAAGGGTTTGTTGGCAGTCCCACCTTTTAAGGGCCTAAAACAGCCTGAAAAGGTAGTCACTTTTGGTTTTGAATAAAGAAGTTAGTGCCTTTCTTGTGAGCCACAGGAGATTGGTTGTGGAAAATGGGACAGAATGCCCTCAGACCCCCCCCAACTGCTATCCACGCTTATTTAAAGAAGCCACTCTCATCTACATTTCATCTTCATGATTGTCCATATTATGTAATTAGCTGAATTAATAGATATGTTAAGATTTATTGTTAGATTTTAAAATTGTATTATCCTTCTGTTTATGACCATTGTGTATAATTCCTATGAAAGTTGCTTATAATGTTATAACCAATATGAAACCTATCTTTTGCCAAAATAAAATAAATTTCTCCATTTAGAATCTATTTTTCTTTCACTTATGTGAATTGGATCTCACCTTGTTACCAGGGCAACAGAAAAACATATTCTTGCCCTCTTGTAACATTGCCATGGTGGCATACATTCCTCAGGAGAGAGAGGTATACGTTCCTCTTCTCTCATTTCCCCAAAAACTCTCAATCCATGTAGAGCAGCGATCCCCAACCTTTTTTGGTCTGCGGACCGGCTGGGGAAGGTGGGGCACCCCCCGCGCTCGTGCGCATGCGCAAACAAGCGCTCTCTCTCTCGCATGCGCCCATGTGAGCACTACACCACCATTTGTGCATGTGTGTGAGTGTGCACTCATGCACATGCGCAAACAGTGGCACAGCACTTGTCTGGGTGTATGCATGCTCATGCGCAAACGGCGGCACAGCGCTCGCACAGGCGCAAACAGGCTGTGCGGGGGTGAGTGCATACGGGGGGGTGGGGCAGGTTTGTCTTGGCGGCCCGGTCAGGCTCTGGCCATGGACTGGCACCAGGCTGTGGACCGGGGGTTGGGGACCTCTGGTGTAGAGCACTTGAAAAAAAAAGGGGAGGCAGAGACATGCTGATAAGGCATGTGAGTGATGGAGAACGTAGCAGGCATCTTATCTGAGGGAGAATCCTGGCATGTCACCTGTGAGGTAATAGACTAGCACAGAAATGGACTGATTTCACTCTTGCATACTCTTTCCCTCCTCTTCCAGATGCCCCATTAACAAGTGATACGTGCAAAATTTAAAAATCAAAATCGTAATTGCAATAGTTAAGCAAAAACTGCTTGCTAATTCTGCTTCTGAATTTAAGCAGTTTGGCAGGTCTAAGCATGTTGCACTTGGTATCAAGTATACTTTGCAAAAAGCACAGTATCTGCTAGCAAGGGAAAGATCCACCAGAAAAGGCAGTCAATGGATCTGCCAACCAAGAGGTAAACCATAGTCTAGCTTCCGTCCACTTTTACACTCAGGCACTGTAGGACTAGTAGGAATTTAAGCAGGATGAGGCCCTTGATGTAGACCCAAACAGCTCCAACAAGACAAAGAGAGAAGCAGAAAGTCCAGCTTGAGGTGTCAGGTAACATGTGTGAGGTCAGATCCCAAAAACTTGGGGGCTCACACTGGTTCCCAGCAGGGCATTGCCAGCCTGGACACATTCAGCCAGCCGAGGTCCTGCAACAGAGAGAAAACATAGTTAACTGTTAGTGATCCTCAAAAAAAGGAGCAAGGCTTCTGTAGGTTCCTTTTAAATAACAATAGTGCAATATTCCATCCCCATGTAACAGTCTCCAGTCCCGTTTGAAGTTCTGTATCTATGGCAACCCTGGTGTGCTACTAATTTTTAGCATGATGTCCGAACCTGGGAGCAGCCGGGTTCTGGCTTGTTAGGTGGCATGTAAGCCAGAGCATTGACTGCTGCTGGGTTCCTGTTTACTAAGTAACCATGGACCAAACCTACCATACTGTATTTTTATCTGCTCCTGCTGTAAGCATGTGCTGAAAGCTTTTGTGGATAATCAAGGAGGAAGGCAGACTTTAGCAATTTGAAAACAGCTTATAGTTGATAGGTGTCCAACTTACGTATCAAGGTGTATTTAAAATGCAGCTATTCTTAATAATGTATTATATTCATTCTCAGAGAATGCACTCATCATAGTCCAGCATGGAAAGACAATGCCTGTGACCTCTTCCCTACTGTTTCATTCTGCGACTGATTCATCCATGTAGTCCCCTCTCAGACCATATCTAAGATTTTTGTGGAGCACCAGCGACTTGTGGATTTCCCAGGTAGGGATCCCTGCTTTAGAGGGTTAGCAAGAGAAAAGAGTTGGGGGGAGGGGGAAAGCAAGGCTGTGATTTTGTGCCTTGGTTGCTTCCATCCTTAATTCAATGTAGGTGATCATGGAAGACAGCAGAATAGAAGCAATTAGCAGATGTCTGGAGGAAGAGTGGCCTGGAAGTTTTATCTTCGGGTTGAACTGTGAACACTCAAGTATGGATATTGTGGCTACCCAAGATCATGCCATTTGTTTGCACTTAATAGAAAAGGTAAAGGTTCCCCTTGAAATTTGTCCAGTTGTGTCCAACTCTAGGGGGTGGTGCTCATCCCAATTTCCAAGCCATAGAGCCAGCGTTTGTCCGTAGACAGTTTCTGTGGTCACGTGGCTAGCGCGACTAGACATGGAACACTGTCACCTTCCCACTGTGATAGTACCTATTTATCTACTTGCATTTTTGCATGCTTTTCAGCTGCTAGATTGGCAGGAGCTGGGACAAGCCACAGGAGCTCACTCTGTTGCGTGGATTTGATCTTATGACTGCTGGTCTTCTGACCCTGCAGGTTTAACCTGCAGCGCCACCACGCTAAGAGATACCCACTCTCATATCAAAACTGCAAACAGATAGACTGTCCTTATTTAATTCATTTCCCATTTCTAATTTTGAAGGGATTTTTTTCTCAAGGGCCTCAAGAGACACCAGTTGTCTTATCTTATCTGACGGTAAGACCAGTGTTGGGCCAGAATTTTAGCCTTCAGTTTCTAAATGAACCTTGTCTGTTTCACTCCAGTTCCAGCAGAAGCAGTACTGAGTTGAAATCTGATGACGGATGCAAATGCCACTCAGTTTTAAATACAAACATGCAATATATGCCCTTCTCGGTTGAACTGTGAACACTCAAGCATGGATATTGTGGCTACCCAAGATCATGTCATTTGTTTGCACTTAATAGATAAGGTAAAGGTTCCCCTTGACAATTTTTGTCCAGTCGTGTTCGACTCTAGGGGGCGGTGCTCATCCCCATTTCCAAGCCATAGAGCCAGTGTTTGTCTGCTGTAGTCACGTGGCCAGCGCGACTAGACATGGAACGCCGTCACCTTCCCACTGTGATGGTACCTATTTATCTACTTGCAAGAAATGCACTAGGATAGTATAGTGCTACATGTTAACTTTGGTTTGTTTTCCTTAACATATTACACTATGAGCAATTTTGGCTAGATGGGAAGCTAAAAGGTAGATAAACATATGTAGCTATAAGTTTTATAAAGGTTAGTGAATAATAATAATAAGATACCCACTCTCATATCAAAAATGCAAACAGATAGACTATCTTTATTTAATTCATTTCCCATTTCTAATTTTGAAGGGATTTTTTTCTCAAAGGCCTCAAGAGACACCAGTTGTCCTATCCTATCTGACAGAAGGTACAACCAGTGTTGGGTCAGAATTTTAGTCTACAGTTTCTAAATGAACCTTGTCTATTTCACTCCAGTTCTAGCAGAAGCAATACTGAGTTGAAATCTGATGACAGATGCAAATGCCACTCAGTTTTAAATACAAACATGCAATATATGCAGGAGAGTGGCTGCTGCAAGGGAGAGGTGGCTGGGGATTATTGTACCGTATTTTCATGGCCCCATTGTCCATACTCCATCATTCTTCCTCACCCCATCATTCTAAGGTCCCTAGTGGCATCCACAATATCTCACCTGCATTTGCCTTGAGCCAGCTGTGTGCTTTTGCTTCCAGCAGCTCCCATTCATCTCTCTGCTCTTTGGCCATGGAGTGGAGCCAGAGAATGGCCAGCAATGTCCCCCACACATTCAAGGCCACCTGGAAGTAGTAAACAGCAGACAAGAAATGCACTAGGATAGTATGGTGTTACACGTTAACTGTGATTTGTTTTCCTTAACTATGTACGTATTAAACATTACATCTAAACAGCTACAGTAATCGATGGTTACAAATGTAGGCCAAGAATCAAGGTGTGAAACCATGATTAGAGGTGGGGTTCATGTTACTCATTCTTACACATGGCATCTGTGTCAAATAAACTATGGCAAAGTCAGTTGTCCCTTTCCTCTGCCCCCTGCCTTATAAAGTGACAAGAATGTTACACTGATGCCTCATTCATTCAAGCATCTCAGCTGTGGTTGCACATTAGGGATGCAGTCTCTACAAGGGACAAAACATGAAACAACAGCCATGCCCAACCACGTTCAATTTGCACTGGAAATTCAGATACCGCTAGCAATAATTCCTTGAATTGAGACTTGATATATCCCCGTCACTGATCTATACAGATGAAGGACAGCATTCAATGCCTACTGAAGAGCCCACTGGTATCCAGTCAAATGCCAAACCTTAACCCAGCAACAAACTCACTTGAGTGGGTGTTTTACTTGAGGCATCTGTCTCATCCAGGCTGAGAGCACTGACCAGGCCAGAATCAAAGGACCAGGAGCCATCTGCATTCTGCAAGGAGATCAGTCTGAAGAGAGGAGACTCCTTGTCTTTGGCATCAGATATACTTAGGGATGTGGTGGGGCTCAGGGTTACACCGCAGCATTCTCTGTGCTGGAAGGTCTGTAGAGCTTCAGCTGTAAGATCAAATCCAAGCGGTTCGAAAGCATGCAAATGTGAGTAGATAAATAGGGACCACCTCGGTGGGAAGGTAACAGCGTTCCGTGTCTAAGTCGCACTGGCCACGTGACCACGGAAGATTGTCTTTGGACAAACGCTGGCTCTATGGCTTGGAAACGGGGATGAGCATCGCCCCCTAGAGTCGAACACGACTGGACAAAAATTGTCAAGGGGAACCTTTACCTTTACCTTTTTATACTTGGGCAGGACTCACTATGTACTTGGGGGGCAAGGCAGAAAACAAAATATGAGTAAGCAAAGGCCTCCTGGTTTGGATTGAGCCATAGACCAGATAATTAACCTTTTCCTCTCTTTCTCCTACAACGTCTCCAACAAGCTAGAAACATCATCTTTTGAGGCTAATAATAGTGTGAGTTTTGATGAGAAAACAGCATGGATAGAATGTTACCCCCATCTCAACCCAATTTTAATCAATGTGTCCTCCAATGTTTCCATCATTAAAGAGAGTACACAATCACAGATACTTAATATAACAAATAATTTAACATATGACTGATAGCTTTAGTGACCTAAGACAGCACACATTCTTAGCACATTGACAGTTTTCTGTGTACGTACGTACAGATATAGATCACAAATTGTACTGTATCTAACTGCAGTGCTGGAAATGACTCTATAGATCATTGAGTACAGTCCTTGTCGTAGAGGCAGAGTGCAGAATTGAACTCAAAACCTCTGGCTCCTTAGCCAGAGACCTAATCTACTGAACTACCCAACAGTTATAGGCATACAGTAAGTCATGGATGTTGGCAAGGCTCTGGGTCTGAGTCCTGAGTCTTTGGTACCAAGCCTTGAGTTCCAAGCCCCAAATCTGAGTTATTATTAAAAACAAGTTTTTCCCCCCAGAAAAAAAGGGACTCAATGAGTCAGGGGTTGAGCCAAACTCACGGGGGTGGGGGTGGGAAACCAACACAAAAAGCCCAGAATCACCACTGCGACTGAAGTCTGAGTTGACAGCGAGTCCCATGGCTCGAATCCCTGTCTCTGGTCAAAGTATAGGTAGAGATATAGGTACAGTATAAGTATTGATTTCGATAAAGATGATTTCTTCCTTTCCTCAATGCCTTCATTATTTTGAATTTAATCATATTGTATCTTGTTTTTCTTTTTCTTTTGCATAATCACTTACATATTAGTAAGACCTTTCTATAGCTTTAATCAGCAAGAAAGTAAGTAAGAACAGAGGTCCCTTGTATCACAGTTATCACCTATGTATAAGTCTGCCATGTGTTCCCATTGTTGCTTCTATTTTTCCCATATGACTTAAAAAAAGAGAGAGAGAATGAAAGAACAATACTCTTTGTAGATGGGTGGAGATTGCCATTATTGTTATTCTTCTATCTTTTTAAAGAGGTGTGGTTTCGACCTGAGTTGTGATTTATCCAGCAGGTGAACCTACCCTGTTTTCCCCCAAGTAAGACCTAACCTGAAAATAAGCCCTCGTATGATTTTTCAGGATGCTTGTAATATACAGTCTACCTCAAAAATAAGCCCAAGTTAAGTGAAACCCTGCCCTCCAAGGCCTCATTGTGCAGCAACCAGAAGATGACATGACTATATTTGAATAAATGTAATTGTTATTCTTCTATCTTTTTAAAGAGGTGTGGTTTCGACCTGAGTTGTGATTTATCCAGCAGGTGAACTTACCTTGTTTTCCCCCAAATAAGACCTAACCTGAAAATAAGCCCTCGTATGATTTTTCAGGATGCTTGTAATATAAGCCCTACCTCAAAAATAAGCCCAAGTTAAGTGAAACCCTGCCCTCCAAGGCCTCATTGTGCAGCAACCAGAAGATGACATGACTATATTTGAATAAATGTAAATTTTTGTACATGGAAAAATAAAACACCCCCTGAAAATAAGCCCTAATATGTTTTTTTGGAACAAAAATTAATACAAGACCCTGCCTTATTTTCGGGGAAACACGGTTTTGCGGCTGTGCACATATTGTATATAAACTTTGAGAGGCTAGTATTATACTAATATTTTATGCTGTGCTAAACAAAGGGGTTAAAAGTGCTGTGATCCTAACATGACATTCCCATGTTGCTACTTATCATAACAGTATTATTCCAAAATATTCTCATGATGCAGTAATTCATTTGGTCCTTAAATCTCCTCCAAGTAGATTAAAGAAATGTACACTAAGCAGTTTCTGGGGTATTTTCTAACCTCATGAGAATGGCGATGTTTTGAGGGTTAGCAAAAGACATAGGGTCAGGGATGGGGTCAAAGCTGATCGGACAGCTCAGTGAGTTGGGGGTCAGCAGTTCAATTCCCCACTGGGACTCCCAGAGGAAAAGCCAACCTGTGTGGACTTGGCGACCCCTTCCAGGTTTGTTAGGTATAAAGTACTTGGAACCGGTTTTCATTCTTGTTTTCTGGGAATGCCCTAGTGTCAACTACAGTGGTGCCTCGCAAGACGATTTTAGGAAATCGCTGTCTTGTGAAAACATCGTCTTGTGAAACCCAGTTCCCCATTGGAATGCACTGAAATCTATTTAATGCATTCCAATTGGGAAAAAAAATCACTGTCTTGCAAAAATTGTCCATAGAAGACATTGTCTTGCAAAACATAGTTCCCCATACCATATTGGGGAAAAGCAATCCTTTCACCTACACTGCCTTTGGAAATTCAATGGGTCTCAGATGGCCTTATCCCTCTTTCTCTCTATAGCAGCAATTAAAGTGAAAGGAGTCAAAGCAGCCTCCTGGGCCCTGATAATGGTGACTCCTTTTACCTTGATCCTTTATCACAGGGGAAAAAAGAGAAAGAATGCAACACAAAACATCACTAGGACTCGCTGCCTTTGCAATAGATCCTGATGAGAAGAAAGATGAAAAGGAATCTAGATAAAACAGGGAAATCACAAACATAATGCCCCCATTAACACAAATTATGCAGTTGAGTTCCACACATTTGAGGAAATCACAGGGACCAGCAGCACACCCAAAGTGTAATGGACAAACCTTCCCCCTAGGAAAACCACTTTTATGACATGGTATTTTCCTTGCAAAGTATGAGTTAGAATGGCCCTTGCATCTCCTACGCCCCCCGTCCCCTGACTCCCCAAGGCATGGTGACCCCCTGGCTGCACCTCCCACTCAGTACAGGGCTGCACAGCCCCAGTCCTGCCAGAGGCCAAGAGAGCTCCTCAGTGTTTTGGGGTGCCCAGCGGGACCCCCATCAGGGACTAGGTGTTCCTCCCACAATCCTCTAGTGCATAGGTATTAGCATATGCTAATACCTGTGCACTAGAGGATTATGGGAAGAACACCTAGCTAATGCTAGGTGTTCCTTCCACAATTAGCATAAGGATTAGCATATGCTAATACCTATGCACTAGAGGATTGTGGGAGGAACACCTAGTCCCTGATGGGGGTCCCGCTGGGCACCCCAAAACACTGAGGAGCCCCCTGTGGGGGTTGCTGCAGGGCACCCCAAAACACAGATTTTCCTATCAAATCCCACCAACATTTCTCCTCAACACTTCTATTCACTGTGGGTGCTTCCAGATGAAGCTTTTATTGTGCCAATGCCTCACCTCATCTATAGCATTTTACAGGGAGTCCAGACACAGTTGTCTTCTGTTTGTAACCCTCCCTGGGTCTCCCACTGCTTGTTCCCACATTCCCTGCCTCCCTTTATCAGAAAAAAAAACCTGTTAATATGGACAAAATGAGATAATTGCACAAAAGCCTTTTGATTATCTGTAGCTAGGGGCTTTTCATCTGGATGCAGATGTAAATTTTGAGAGTTTTACTAAAAAAAGAGAGGAACTTTTTCCACCTCTGGAAGATGCACCCTACCATAACAAATTAGATCACAGCCCTGATGAAACAGTCAAATAAACATCATGATTTATATCAGTGGTTCTTAACCTTTGTTACTCGGATGCTTTTGAACTGCAACTCCCAGAAAGCCCAGTCAGGACAGCTGGTGGTGAAGGCTTCTGGGAGTTGCAGTCCAAAACTCCTGAGTAACCCAAGGTTAAGAACCAGTGATTTATATGACATAAAACCAGGGACTTTTTTTTTGCCACATCCACAAATATTAAATGTTCAGGGCCAAACATTTCACTCAGATGAGGCAGAGATTCTCCAGAGTCTCTTACCTTCTTCATAATCATCATCAAACCAGTCCGCTTCAAGACACCGCCAATCTGCACTTCTTGGATGCCGTGTTGAACAGCTACTCGTTAACAGGTCTTAGAAACAAAAGGAAACATAGTGCAACTATCTCAAGTACAGTGTTATATGTTTTATAAAGGAGCGGTCCCCAACCTTTTTCGGTCCGCCGACTGGCTGGGGAAGGCGGGGCAACCCCCTGCACTCGTGCACATGTGCAAACGAGCGTGCTTGCACCTGCGCTTGTGTGCATGTGCAAATGGTGGTGCAGCGCTTGTGTGAGTGCTTTCGCTTGTGCACATGCGCAAGTGGCAGTGTTGCTGTTTGCGCATACGCACAAGAGAGCGCGCCTGCAAAAGCGCCATGCCACCGTTCATGCATGCGCACGAGCGCGCATACAGGCACAAATAGCTTTTGCAGGGGTGAGTGCATGGGTGGAGTGGGGCGGGAGGTCTGTCTTCGTGGCCCAGTTGGGCTCAGGCTGGGGACCGGCACCGGGCCACGGACCAGGGCTTGACGACCTCTGTTATAAAGGGACTGTGACAACCCCAGACCTACTGGAGTATGCCACCATGTATTTATGCTGCCACCAACCATTCCCTATAAGGAGTCACACAGACCAGGAATGGATTTTTAACAAACAAAAGAACAAGGTTTATTTAAATAACAAACAGGGTAAATAAAAAGATCAAGTAAATAAGATACTGTAACGTGGCAAAGTCCCAAACATATACATATAACAGTTTGGTTCCCACAGAACCCTTTAAAGTAAAGCACAGACCCTGAACCTATCAGTTCTGGCTACCTATAAAGAAACCTGAACCTATCAGGTATGTACTAACTGACACACAGTTGTACTCAGTCTGACACACAGACTCCAACTCCTAACTCTCCACACCAGCTCCAAACATATATACAGTACAGCTCCTCCCCCCTGATGTCCCGCCTTCCACTCCCCATAGGATGGAACTTTCCCTCCAAACCCATGACAGACAGGTACCATCAGTGCTGTATGATAAAGGGACTCCCAGAAAACAATTTGATTGGCATGTTTTATAGTAGCAATTTGCAGAGGCCTGGGGGCCACATGGGCCTGACCTTAGTGTGCGTATCCCAGCATGAACCCTCTACCCTCTAAGATAGGGCTGTTTTTCTCTCTTTTTTAAATTAATAAAAAGTCCTTCCATGCCATTTAGTGTCCCAAATACTTTTTTAAAGGCTGGTGTGTCAAAACACTTTGTCTCTCTATGAGGCAATTATTAACAGCATGATGTACAAAATGGTGTCTTGAAGAATTTTGCAGGCCAAGAAGTGGAGCAAGAGTGGTCCATTTTGATTTTCCGCTTAGGAACCGAGGTACTCACCTCTTTGGACAAAACAACAACAACAACAAAGAATTATCTACAGGGGAAAATACCAGCTCCTTCTGAATTTCTCCTACATTTTTCTGAACCTGCACATTTTGGTTCAGCCACTGTTGATACCTCAGCTGGGCTGTTCTTAACGATGGGCAATTAAGCCAAGGCAACTCTTCTACTTTGAATTCATTCTCTTTCAGTAAACAGACCAGAGTTAATACAACTTGAAGTTTCCTCAGGGTTCATACCATGAAATTACAGTTAAGATAAACTAAACTTAAAGGCAGGAATTCAGACACAGCGACAGCCCGTGTGGTCATTCTGCTTACACCTGCTAAATACTGTTTATTTGCAAACTAAGACACACTTCAGTGATATGAACCAACATAGTCCTACATTCTGTTCTTAGCTGGGCTCAGGTGTAATTCGCAAATAGGGCAGAAAAAGCAGAAGATTCGCTAGTTGGCGGACATTTAAGAGCTACACCGCCTCTTTCCATGGAAGTTGTTTTGACTAAAATGGGAAATGGCCACTGATATAGCCATTCTCCCTAATCTAATTCTCTGGATCTCTGCACCACATTTCCCCTGCTAGACATGGAACCTTTTCCACCCCCCTTGAGAACTCTGTATACGATGCAAAACCAAAGTACATCTTTTGCCAGCTAAGTACACAAACCCTTCAAATGCCAGCAATTGGGGGAGTGGCTTTTCTTATGTGCATTGCCCAGTGTTATGCAGGCCAGAGTCCATGCCACTGCCAGTGTTGATGGTGACAGTGACATACTTCATGCAAAGTACAAACCAGATCCCCCCCACAGCAATATAAGGCAAGCAGGAAGATGAACCACTAGTACAGGTAATGGCACAGAAAGAGTTTGAACCATATGCTCACAGGATTGGGTTAGCATCAATTGTGGGTCCTGACTCTGTGACATGCAACAACTATAGCCAATGGTCATTATGAGGCAATAGCCCTGACTCTAGCTGGCATTGTTCTCTTTGATATCTAACTTGGAAAAGCAAAACACTTTATTTAGTAGGAGTATATCACAACCAGGACTTTCCCACTAGGGTCCTTTCTGATCAGTTCACGACCCCTACCCCCAGGAGTATGGACCAAACCTATTAACAAACCTGTAAGAGGGACTACTTGGTGGACCACAGGGCCCTGTATTGGCTTGCCCAGCTCCTTGTTGACCCCAATGTAAGCGGTCTGTGAACACACCACTCCGGAACTCAGGCTTGTCTCCAGTGCCAGGTGCTTCTTTTCCTCTTCCATCTCTCCAGCCATCTCCAGTTCCTGTAACAGGGCTTGAGCTGCCAGCCGATGAACAGGGAGCCTGGAGAAGCAAGAAGAGTGTTTGGCAAGGCTGATATATGCAACACCCATGGTCGTTGGCGCAGGTTCCAAAAAGAACATTATTGCTCCAGTTTTGAACTTCAGGAGCCCTTTACTGTGTTTCCTTGTTTGCCTTTGCTAATACTCAACACACAATCTTGTTCCTGATATTTTGTTTGCAGACGGAAGAGATCCCTCTGGTGTTGCTTGGCCTGTGTGACCAAAGCCCCTTCCTATTAAAACAAATCAAATCATATCATTTTAGATATGTTCACACCACTAATGGCTCCTGCTAATCTACACAGCCAGCCTGCAGTTCCATACCAACATTAAGTGTGCGCAGTTTCAATTCCAGGATGACAGCTATGATACATTAGTGGGTTGGAAGAACAGCCCAAATGTTCGCAACATGTACCATGGATTTCACAGCAAAAAAAGTCAAATGTGGCTCACCAGATGTTATTGAAAAATCACTCTCAACTTCTCTAACTATAGCTCATGCTCGCTGGGATTGATGGGTTTTGTAGTCTACCAACATCTGGAGGGTCATATGTTCCCCCATATCTACTTTAGTTGAACCGCTTTCTTCTGCAACTGTTTCATTTTAACACTTACTTAAAAATAAGCCTGGTACGTTTCCAATGGGGGATTAACCACTGGATTTGGGTGACTTAATACAGTTACAAATGTGTGTTTTTCATACGTCTTCTATCTGAGCCATAAGTGACAAAGGCAGCCAAAAAAAAAATCTGCATGAAATGCTAGTGGTAAACTGTTTAGAAGACATAATACTCAAAAAATCTCAGCTTTCACTATCCATGAAATGCAATTGCAGACCTCATGTATTGCCTAGGTGACTGACTCTACATCCCCTCCATCATCCAAAAAGAACATTTTCTCATATTTCATTTCTAGTCCTGATGTCTTGGCGGAGGCAGGGCTTTTGCAAGGTCCCACCTGTCACTCTCCTGAGCTTGAAGGGGGAATTTCAATGTCTCGGAGAAAGTCTGGTCCTGGAAGATGTACTGAAGGACAACAGATCCCTCTGTAGAGTGTGGAGACTGCAGAAGGACGAAAGGCAACAGAACACAAGGAGAAAGAGGAGGGCAAAGTCATTTATGGAGAAGTAAACAGTGGGCTTATGAAATTCAGTGAATCAAAACTCAGTGTATGACTTACACACCAAGGGCTGGTTGTGATTAGAAATTGGGGAGAGAGCTACGATGCTGGGAGATGGTTCGACATTTAGGGATTACTTGCCTGAAGCTGTCCACGGATCTGTGCAAAAATGAGGCACCGATATCCTGGAAAAATGACTGAAGGGCCCGATCCCACAAGCACGGCTTCCAGACCAGAAGGCAAGTTCCAATGGAGAGAGACCCCAGTTACTGCTGGCTGCAATGCTTTCTTCAAAGTTTGCAGTGCCTGCAAGAAGACAACAACCTTATATTGCAGGGAAGAGAGAGACTATATTCCATTTGCAAGATCAAAAAGGCTCAACACTTTAGAAGTACAGTAATTACAAAGCTTTTGGCAATGAGCCCAAGCTCTGTAAAGCATCTGCCCTGCAGGGGACATCAAGTAAATGTAGACTTGATTAAGGAATGATGTGCTTCAAGGAAACAGAGAATTCATGGAAAGAAAGTGTGAGAATCAATTGGGTATTGCTAGTTTTGCAAGACATAAAACAGGCAGCCCATGACTAGCCAAAAGTCAAGAGGTGTAACCCCTCTTGAAGAGAACTTCAAGACATCAAGTCAGAAAAAGGCAGCTTCTCATTTATTTGAGTTTACTTTCCCAAACTTTGGTTTTTTTTGTTGAGAAGGGAAATGAGATCTAACTCTTCTACACCTTTTCAGATGTCGGGAGGAATATAGCAAGTTATCTGCAGCCCTTTTCTTCTAACATCCAGTTTTCTTCTAACCCAAAATGAGTAAAACAAGAAGAATGAACTCGCATTCCTTCAGCCTCACCTTGGCCTGCATACGCTCCTTGTCTGTGATAAATTCCGCACTGCCACCTGCTGCCTGAGCCATGCCTTTGACCAGGGCTGTGGAGGCCCCTTCACCAATGCCAAAGGAGAAACACCTGTCAAGGAAAAGAAAAAAAGAAAAGAAAGAAAGGTGGTGCCAGCCAAGGCATAGAGAACAGAAAGCACCCTTTATCTTTTTTTACCTGTGGGAACTGCTGTGACGACGAACTTCAAAAATGACCTCATCTGTGTTATCTACCTCTCCATCAGTGAACACAAATAGCTGGGGAGAGGAAAAGATGAAATCCAAACCTTAGGATCTGCTAGCACAGCGACGAACAGCTGAGAGTGGAGCACTCCAAACATTTTTAAAAAATCATCAAGTGTCTGACACCCACAGAGCTGTAACTAGCCATTTTGTTACTTGTAGCTTCACTACCTTTCTGTGTACACTTTGGATCATATGACACTAATATTTACAGGGAATGCACAGAAGAATGGAGAGGAAATACCTTGGCTTGAACTTGTGGTGGCCATTTAGGTTCCACGTTGAGCCTGGCTCTTTTTTGTTTCCTTCTTCTGGTGAGGCACAGCTGGAGGCATTGTCAGAGAGAATAGATTCACCCGCTTCCAACAGCAAAGGCTAACAGGTAAGTTCACTCCCCTCCAGTAGCAAATTTATGCGCCCTCTAAATTTTGGCACCGCTACATTTTGGCACACACGCCAGTTACAGTTCTGGCCGTGAGGTACAGTGGTACCCTGCATGACAACGATAATCGCTGTACAGCGAAATCATCATCATGTAAAATGGTTTCCCAATTGGAATGCATTGAAAACTGGTTAATGCATTCCAATGGGGAAAATACCTCGTTGTCCAGCAAAGATCCTCCATAGGGCAGCCATTTTGCGAAGCCGACGATCAGCTGTAATGATCGTCGTCTTGCGGGGGGAAAAAATGGTCCGTGAAGCACAGACCAAATTGTCGTGAAGCGGAATTCCCCCATTGAAATGCCTGTTTTGCAAATCACTATAGCAATTGCAAAAATGCATCGTCCTGCAGTTTCGTCATACAGCGGGGGCGTCATCTAGCGGGGCACTATGTACAAGAAATATGTGAAGTAGAGATGGGCATGAAACTCAGTTTGGAGGTTCGTACTCGTGTTACCACAGGTGCTGCATGTTCTCTTTCTCTGCCTCCCCAGCCAAAGATCCACTCACCACTTAGAGCATGCTCCTCTCCTCCTTCAATTTAGCTGTTTGACCAGTCCCCTGGCAGGAGCATGGGCTTCCCTGCCGTGTCTCCTCGTCTGAATGGGCAGTCAAGGAGGTAGTGCAAGGAGGACCATGCTCCTGCCAGAGACTGGTTGAACACACAGGAGGAGGAGAGGAGCGTGCACTGGCTGATGGGTGGGGAATCCAGCTGGGGAGGCGGGGAAGAAGGGAACATACAGCACCTGTGATACCACGGATATGAACTGAGGTTCATGCCCATCTCTAATGGAAAGGCAGAATGGCATCCAGTTTTCTTCTAATTCAAGAGGATGTTTGCAGAGACGAGTGCCCATTCCAGCAGTTGACTGCTGTTTACAGTCTTCTCAGTGGTCATTAATCTTTCAGCATGCCCCAGGCAACACAGCATCTGCATATTCGGAAGGCATTGTGGCAGAATGCACAGCAGAATGGCTCCCATGTGAACTCTACATACCTGACGTGGATGTCTCTCCTGGCATGGCTGGCTGTAAATTGCCTTCAGCGGCCACAAAATCTCTGTCCCCCCTAAATCAGCCATCAGGTTTTTGATGCGCTCGAGGGATTCTGACATAGTTTGCTGGGTGTACTCTACACTCTGCCTGCAGAGGGAGCCAGAGAATTAAAGACATAAGAGTTTCCAGGTGCTCCATTAAAAAGAGCCCTTTCTTCTACCTTTCTCCTTTTCAATGTTGTTCACACAATCTCAGCTGTCTAAACTACTGCATTCAAATTACACTAACAAGTATATCTACCCATTTAGTGCCAAGCATCAAACATCCCAAGCCATTCCTTTATTCTTCAGAACGGCCACTGCATTCACAACTCTTTTGCTTTACAAACTCAGGTGTTAGCTATTTCTCATATGCTAATATTACAAGATGTGCAAAAAAAACGAGCAAAGCAAAGGCGAGAACAAAAGTGGGGACAGGATGACTAATGGGCATGGTTCAGCACATACTATGCACAATTAAGAGATGTGGCAATGAGAAAGAGAAAGAAGCTAGACTGCATATGAGCTACTGCTAGACAGCCTGGATGAGGTTTTTGCCCTGTTTCATTTTATACACTTTGCATGCCTTTTTCTTCTATCAGCACTCCAGACAAGTCAGAGAAATTACCCTACCCCTCTTTCCCACTGCTGCGGGGAAGGAATATTGGGACTGAGACATAGTGGAGAAACAAGGAACCAAGATGGCTGGCAGGGTACATGGGGGATCTAATACTTACGGGTAGAATGAATCATAGTTAGATCCAAAGCCATAGATGTTGAAATAACACCCCAGAGGAAGACTCTTCAGTAGAAAAACTAGTGTTTCCTGAGTGAGAGATAGACACACACACACATGCAAGTCTCCTTCAAAATTTCAATTCTTCTTCAAATCTCAGATCATCAAAATTTCAGGGCTGAGTCATAACCAGGGGCCATCCTCATCTGGCCTACCCCACATCACATCTAGGGTTTGCTGTTTCAGATAAAGAAATAAGACTACTGAATTAACAAATAAATCATACTCTAACACTGAAGAGAGAATAGCATCCTATACCATTCTTAATAGCAGCAAACTAGTCAGAAACATACAGTATGGGGCATATGAACCTACCTGGCAGTTTAAGATCTAGCCAGGGGTCCTTTTGAAAGAGCTATCCCTCAAGGAGATAAGAGGGATGGCTTGTAGATGAAGGGCCTTTTCGGCAGCTGCCCCCAGACTATGGAACGCCATCCTGACTGAGATTCGCCTGGTGCCGATGCTGATGATATTTCGGCGCCAAGTCAAAACCTTCCTGTTCCAGAAGGCTTTTAATTGAAATAATATCAACTGTGGGTCCTAATGTCAACTTTTAGAGTCTATATTTTAACTGTATTTTAATTGTTTTATATATATATTTTTACTGTAGTTAAATAGCTATAAGCTGCCCAGAAACCTTTGGGTAGTGTGGGCGGCATATAAGCTAAATAAGTAGTTGTACTGAAAAAATATGGGAAGTGATAGAAATTGATACTTTTTCAGGCATGCTGAATGTATGTCCAAGACAGAAGGAAACTGAATGACGGGATGTATTTTACAATTGGTCTCGGTCCCTGATAGTGTTGGAGTAACTTAGATTTAAGCTAAAACATAAATGTAAGCTGATAGTTAGAGGTTAATCAAACAGTTAAAAAAAGTAGAAAGTTGATTTTGTATTGAAAATGAATAGATTGGATGCTTGTATACAGTGGGGTCTTGACTTAAGAACGGCTCGAGTTAAGAACATTTTGACTTAAGAACCACTCTCATAGGAAAATATTGACTTGACTTACATACTTAGATTTGAGTTAAGAACTGGAAAAAACCCACATGGGAGGCAGGGAAAGTACAAAATTTGAACTTTCAGTTAACTGTTGGCCAGTGAAAAGGGTGCTTGTCTGCTTCGTCACTCCTCCCAGCGTTTAGAGAGTGGATTGGGAGACAGTCTTCAGACTGCCTGGTACTGCCTGGACTGTATTTTCCCTGCCTTCCCTGAACCTTTCTTGACCTAAGAAAAAAAGGAAACAAAATATCCCGCTTGAGGCAGTCACCTCACTTTTACAACAGGACTGCTGTCACTTCCCATTTCCTCTTCCGATGTAGGATTCATCCTACTATTTCTTCACCCTGTGCAGGGCTAGCCCTAATATTACATACTCAAGCAGCAGATGTTGGGATAGTGGAGGTAGGAAACTGGCAAAGGATGGACAAATGTGTCCATACAGGATGCCTGCTCTCTTAGCTTAGCCTGACCTATTCATCGCAAGGGTCACATAGGACCTTTGCATTTGCACTAGGTCTTATGCCTCCTCTTCCCCAGGGCATGACCCCCACCATGTCTGTGTAGTCATCTGTTCATTGCGCACCTTGGCACTCTGAATGCGCGAGGGTGAATCAGAACTGCTCCCAGTATTGAAATCCATGCTGCCAGAGCGATCCAGCAAGAAAATGAACTCCCCAGTAGCATTCGGGGCAGGTTTGGGGGTAGGAAGTTCAGGATACAAGGTGAGAAGAAGTGCTGGGTTTCCCATCAGTGAGCCTGTACATGGCAAAAGGAAAGAAGAACTAATAAAGAAAAGAAAAAAGAGAGAAAGGAAAGTACAGTGGTGCCCTGCATAGCGACGATAATCTGTTCCGGATAAATCGTCGCTATCCGGAAATAAAAACCCCCTAGAGTTTAATGCGTTCCTATGGGGGATAAACTCATCGCTAAGCGGGAATCCTCCATAGGGCTGCCATTTTCGCCACCTCGGTAAGCGAGGAATCGGCACGAAAACACTGTGGGTGGCCATTTTGTTGATCTGGCAGCCATTTTGGAACCGCCAATCAGCTGTTTTAAAACATCGCAATGCGAAGATCAATAAGCGAAACGCTTAACGATCATCGCAATGCGATGTTTTGCCTATTTAAACATTGCAATATGATCGCTTTTGCGATTGCAAAATCCGCATCGCTATGCGGATTCGTCATTAAACGGGGCACTCGTTATGCGGAGCACCACTCTATGCTGCTTACATACTACCCCATAGAGCTTATAGCACTCTCTGGGAGGTTTACAATTTAAATTATGCAGGCTACACAATGCAACACCTCCTGCCCTCAGCAAGCTGGGTACTCAATTTACGGACCTCGAAAGACTGAGTCAACCTTGAGCCTGTCAGGATCAAGCTCAGGTCGTGAGTACAGACATGACTGCGGTACTGCAATCTTAATCACTGCACCACTAGGACAATGCATCGATATTGGTGCCATTTCCACTCTCAGAAATGCTTGCATTTTAGGCTGCCCTCCCCAGTCATTTCAAGCATTCCTCACCTGGGGGAGCCCCACTCTTCCCAGCTTCCAGGATCACACTGGGCTTGTGAATGTCATTGTAATAAATCAACAGCTCCACATCTCGATCAAATTGGTGCCCATCAGCCAAGGCAATCTTTGACAATGGAAATAATAATAATAAAATGAGCCAAATGGTGAAAACTGGGCAAGATTTCAGTTTTCTAGAAGAACTTTCTTCCTGCTGTCTATTAAAGTTTGCTGAAGGACCAAATGTAAACTCTATACATGTGATACACAGGAAATATTAATTTTAAATAATGAAAAAATTCCAAATGTGAACAGGTATTGATACATTATCAGGTCCACATTAAATCCATTTCATTCCTTCACATTCAATATACTTGGTGGTTTTGTGTGTGTGTTTAAGAATGGATACACTTACACATCTACTACATCTATTGAACCCCTGTCAAAGTTACTGAAATGTGTGAATTTCTTAACAAAGAAAATGAAAAAAGAAATGAAAAAAGAAATGAAAAAATGCATTCCTCTTCAGAAACAGCCTTCAATTCAGTGTACTTAGTACACCTGTAGCCCTACCTGGGCAAAAAAGAAATGAAAAAATGCATTCCCCTTCAGAAACAGCCTTCAATTCAGTGTCCTTAGTACACCTGTAGCCCTACCTGGGCAGCAGTATGGGTTTCTGTTGTGTAGCGCAGAGGCTTAAGGGTGCATTTTGACTCCACACGGTTGATGCCATAAGGAGACTCCACCGTGGCACTGAGGCTCAGTGTGTAGGGAAGCTGCCCCTTTGGTACTCGTGGGATGCTCTCAAGGACCGTGTCCCCTTCTGAACCTGCACACAGAAACACCTGAAAGTTTCATACTGTAAGCAGAGTGGAGAAATCAACACAGAAAAGAGTAAAGCTAGACCTAAAGATAGGTTCTAGGGACGTGGTGGCGCTGTGGGCTAAACCATAGAAGCCTGTGCTGCAGGGTCAGAATCCACGCGACGGAGTGAGCGCCCGTCTCTTGTCCCAGCTCCCGCCAACCTAGCGGTTCGAAAGCATGCAAATGCAAGTAGATAAATAGGGACCACCTCGGTGGGAAGGTAACAGCGTTCCGTGTCTAAGTCGCACTGGCCATGTGACCACGGAAGATTGTCTTCAGACAAAACGCTGGCTCTATGGCTTGGAAACGGGGATGAGCACCGCCCCCTAGAGTCGAACACGACTGGACAAAAAATTGTCAAGGGGAACCTTTACCTTTTTAAAGATAGGTTCACCATGAGACAGAAAGTAGCTTGACAATCTGACCTAATTGGTAGCTGTTTGTCTGCAAGATCTTCCCTGGAAGGGCAAGGCCATGGTAGGTTCAAGCAGGCACAAACCCCTGGGCAGTGAGTGACAAAGCCGAACAGAAAGCGCCAGGTAGGCCAACGGTGCCAACGTTTACCTGTGCTTGGATCTACTTCTGTGGGCCTCAATATGCCGCGAGAGCAGGGTGACAGCTAATCCTTTTTGAATTAGGATTTGATCTCATTAGTTCTGAGAGGTAGGCCGCAGGCTCTCACCTTGAGGCACATAGCGGGGGTTCAAGACAGCAGGCAAGACAAAACAGAGGGCCCCATCAGGCTCTGGAGCCAATGACTGAACATAGCGCAACTTCAGTGTGGCTTCCCCATCAGGGGGGAGGTTCCCCAGAACACATGTGAAAATGTCACTAGTTTTTTCATCTCTTTCAAGCAGGAAAGCTTCACGACCTTCACTCAGGGCATTTTCGTATTCTTGCTCTGCCTGCAATATCAAAGGGACAAGATGAGGTGTAAAGCAGGCAAGAACAACAAGAACTTTAAAGGGAAATCTTCCCTTTGACCAGCTCCCGACTTCCCAATTAATAGTTTTTAAGTTTGGAATACCTGCTTCTTCTCTTGGATCTGGGCCTCAATTTGCGTCCCTCCAATCAGGCCCTCAAAGGCATACACGGAAGCCTCAGCATCCAGAGGGAAGACAAAACTGACTTCTACTGGATTTGTCTCCCCATTGTGGTACTGAAGCACAGAGACCACATCAGCCACAAAGCCTTGGATGACCACATCTACAGAGATGCTTCGCAAGGGAACTGGGAAAAAGAGACAATAAAACAGAACATCCCCTTCAGTGCCAGAGTTGTTCCGAGTGAATAAATCATAAACTGGTCCAGGGCCATTCTTGACTCAGGAGGCCACTGCGCTAAGAGGTAACACAGAACAGAGGATAATCAATAAAATCACACTAAAAACAATCTAATAAAATTGAAGTATTTTAGAAAAATTCAAACGTTTTAAGGCAGTTTAACTGTTGGAATAATTACAACAAAAAGCAGCCAGCTGAAGTCCTGAAAACCAAACTATTGTCTTATAAAATTCCACTATCAAATCCCATAGCAGGAAAGAAGCTCAATCACATGGACATTCTACTAATATCACAGTCAATCAAAATGGTATGTTCACCTGTCTCCTTCAAAACAAAAAGGTAACACTACGTAGGTATGTGGTATGTTGAATCTAAATTTCAGTAACTAGAAGCCCTGTTGAGATATTCTATAATCCAGGATCATTAATACAGTTCAGTGGGAGAGCTGAGCCTCATCCAATTGCTTGTCATTTAGCTCACATTAGCAGTGATGGGTCTGAAAAGAAGAGGTTCCTGCGCCAGTGAAAGCTTCACATGCAAGCAAGAACTGTTGGTAAGTTGGGTTCTTGCTTACACTAGAGTAGGATCCTGTCCTTCTCAGACTCATTACTGCTTGCAAATGAGGACAAGGGGGCAGGGCTCTCACCTCTAACTGTGTTGATGATTATATTAGGAAAATGACTTAATAGGGCATAAAACTTTAATGGGAATCAGATGGGCTTTTGTCCCAAAGTTTGGTCTGTTACTATGATGGGCTGGGTCACTCCAGCAATCAGACAATATAATTGCTAGGTCAAACCAACCTGTTCCCAAAACATTCCTATTCAGATCTTTTCTGTCAGATGCTAGTGCTTTTTTGGTGCAGGCAAGAATGCTCTGTTTTGGTTCATTTCAGGCATGTGCGATTTCTGGAAGCAAACCAAAGCAGAGCTTGCAGCTGTCAATTTCCCAATATTGTTATGTATCTTAAAAAGATAATTTAACCACTTCATAATACTGAAAAATCCTGGAAGAGGCAAAGGAAGAAATGTTTTTTAAAAAGAAAAAGTTATGTATGTTTGTATGTATGTATGTATGCATGTATGTATGTATGTATGCATGTATGTATGTATGTATGCATGTATGTATGTATGTATGCATGTATGTATGTATGTATGCATGTATGTATGTATGTATGTATGTATTTATTTATTTATTTAAAATATTTTCATTCTGCCTTTCTCCTAAGGACCCAAGGCGGCTTACATCACTGAAGGACAATATTTAAAACTGAAAACAATGAGTATAAAGAGGCAGCCTATATCATTAAAAGAGAATATTAAAGCTAAAACAAAAATATGCAAATATTTAAAAAGGAACAAATACTACTCTGAGAGACGGAAAACACAATTAGTACTAAAGGTCCGGTTAGAGCAGTAATACATAAAAATCCATCTAAAAGTCACTCAGGAATCAGTCACTGAGAGAATTATGAATTATTTTGAGTGCACTGATGCACTATACCACTTAGGAAAAACAACTGAAAATGAAAACTTCCTCTGGGAAGTGAGAGGAGAGAAGAGGGAACAAGGGGGGAGATTTTTTTCTCTCTTCTAAGCTCTGTAGTATCAGCCATATTTAAATAAATAACCATATACAGGGTGACTTACCTGGCGCCTGGGTAGACGTGAGAAGGCCACCGACAGTCATGGCTGATTATTATTTCTGCATAGGAAGCACAAGCCTAGTTCAAAACATCAGTTCTTGTTATTTGTTACCAAAATGACTAGACTTCAAGCCAATCTGACAAATACTTCCTCCTTCTGCCTCCCAATTAGAAGTGAACCTCCTCCCACAAATTGGTATGTATACTCTATTTTTTCACATGTGGATCACAATTGGAAATATTTTTTTTTCAAATTCCAAATACATTTTGCATAGTTTGAATGATACAAAGATGTTTTTCTATTTTCAACACAAGTAACATAAGAAAAACTATGTTGCATCAGACTAAAGGTTATCTAGTCTGCACATTTTTCACATAGGTGCAACCAGTTCTATGTGGGAAAGGCAAATGCAGGGCATAAGGGTAAGAGTACACTCCTAACCATGTTCCCCAGCAACTGGTAGCCAAAAGCAAATCACATCCTGGAGTAATACTGTATCACAATTACTGTCAGAGTCCCTGTACTAAATGAACCTCTTTGTTTTGTAATTTTGTTCATAAAACTACTTTCCATAGAACTTACAAAAGTCCATATAGACCATTTATCCTTCAATACAGGAATGGAAAACTGCGCTCCTCCTTGGGATGTTGTTGGACACAGTCCCTATCAGGTCAAGGCGACAGAGCCAATAGTGAAGGATTATGGGAACTGCAGACCGCCAACCTCTGGAAATCCATGACTGCATATTTTGACTTTAAAAACAATTATTATCTTACCCTTCCGTATTATTTCAATCAAAATTAGTGATTATAACCCAGAACACCAGTATACAGTATTTGTTCAGAATAATATAACAAAAATGGCATTTCCTTTATTTATCACAAACTGAAAAAGAGTAGCAGTTAGTGATTTTAAGGATACAGAGCTCTATACACTTGAATTAATCATAAGCCATCAACAAGCACTTCTGTTGATTGTTTTGTCACTCAACAACATGACTAAAATCCATATGCCAGACAACATGAATTCAACCACACAGCTGCGAGGTGGATATCTTACTAAGGTCAACAGAACTTACGCTGTGATAAGTGGCTTCAGTGTTGCATCCTAAGCTCCATCAAATGGCAAGTTCTACTTTCTGATATTTTTGCTCAGTTCAGGCATCATACTAAACCACTGTTTATGCTACCCATAGTTAAAAACCAACACGAAGGCTCGAGCAGCAAAGGAAACCAGAGGCTCTTCATTTTCCATACAGTCAGCACAGTTTCACTTCCGCTCCTATGACACCAAATCACCATATATCTTTTTTAACCTACTCTTCCTATGAATGAGCTCAACACAATATACAGTTCCTCTTTTTCCCATTTCATCATTAGAACAACCTTGTGAGGTAGGTCAGGCTCGCACCTGACCAACCTAGTAAGCTTCCTGGCCAACTGGGGATTTAACCTCAGATCTCCCAAATCGTCACTCTAAACTAGTGGTTTCCAACCCTGGGCCCCCAGATGTTCTTGGACTAAAACTCCCAGAAGCCTTCACCGCTAGCTATGCTGGCCAGGATTTCTGGGAGTTGTAGTCTGAGGACATCTAGGAACCCAACTATGCGGGGTGTAATTGTAGTTTGCTAATCAGGATTATTTATATATTATTTATTTTATTTGACTGTTATACTGCCCATCTGACTGCGAGGGCTACTCGGCAGTTCATAACTCAGAAACAAATAAACAATAATATAAAAACAGTAAACATAACAATCAGAAATCGAAATGAAACATCCAATTAACAAACAAGCAGCATAACTAAAAACTAGAAATGAATTAAGATAATTTAAAGGCAAGGGGGCAGAATGGGTAGCATCAAATGCTGAAATGACCACTGTGTTATGATGTTGTGGACTCCAGGAAGGCCTGGCTGAAAAGCCATGTTTTCAGTGATTGTGTACAGCTTCCCAGTGAAGGGGGCAGGAGGATTTCGGGCAAGAGATTATTCCAAAGAAGAGGAGTGACTGCTGAGAAAGCCGGGCCTCTTTAGGGGTCTGTATTCTCAACCATGCTGCCTGAGAATATCTTGTAGGAAGGACAGATCTCATTAGAAGGAGGCATTCTGCCAGGTCCTGAACTGTTTAGGGCTTTAAAAATCACCGTTATTACCTTGAAGCTGGCATGGAAATGGACAGGTAACCAGTGCAAGGCAGCCAGAGAAGGGAAAATATTATTTCTTCACCCCAACCAATAGTCTTGCCCACCATCTTCGGGGCTTGCTGAAGTTTCTTTGTAGCAGCCTCATAGGCAGCTCCACGTAGAGAGCATTGTAGTAGTCTAATCTCAAGACTACCAATGCATGGACCAGCATGGTGAGCGACCTGGTCTCAAGCAAGGGGCAATCTGCCTCAGGTGGAAAGAGGTGGAACGGACCACAGACGCTACCTGGTATTCCACAGATAGCACCAGTCTGAGAATGCCCAGACTGTGAACCTCATATTTAGCAGAGAGAGTACCCCCCCACACACACAAAATGACTTCTCCACAGGACCTCCATCTTGATTAGGTTCAGTCTCAGTCTCACAAACAAACAATGGAAGCTGGTTTGCAAACTATGACACTATAGTTTGCAAACCAACTTCCAAACATGGTTTATCACTGTGTCTTGGCCCCTACATCCAAATAAACCACAGTTACTTTGAGCTAACCTGGATTCAGACATTAAAAACAAAACATGGTTTAGTATAATCACTGAACTGAGCCTCTTATGGGAGAAACATAGCAAAGGGAAGGCCTTACAATTACAAGCAAAGCATTATATCTTCAGCAATGAACAACTGCTGTGGAATTGCACAGAGACAGTGAATTAGAGCAGCAGATCACCTGACTTCCAGGCAGTTTATTCCCCACAACCTCTCTTACCAGAAGTTAACGTGGGGGTTGGGAAACAGCACAACAATGCTTTATTTACCAGGCCGGAGTGCAGAGAGAGAGAAGAAACATGACTAATTATGGAGAAGAGGCAAATGAAGGGCTCAAAAAAGATCTGAAAGGGAAAGCAGAATCTATGCATCAAGTTTCCTGGGTTGGGGCCTCTCGTGCCCTTTTTTGTTTGCAGGATTGGTTTGCAGCTGTCCTGCGCTGAGAGAAGAGCACTGTGCCCATGTGCATCATAGGGCACTCTATGCTGTTCTTTCCTATTAATATGCAGATGAAAACAGAAGGCAGGGTTGGCACAAGGGTGCAGGACAAGGGTGCGGCTAACTGTGTAGTACTGTTATTTGTGGCTTTACTGTCAGGGCTGGAAAAGAGTATATCTGGCATTAAACAACAAAATAACCATTCTGTTTATTGGTAGGACAGGGTCAGTCCCAGCCCATCCTGTCTGATGTGCCAAAACAAGGAAGGAAGCTTGGCTGCCACTCCCCTTGGGCTGCAGGGGGATACCAGCCTCAGGCAGCGCAATGTCTCGGGCGACTTCCTGGGTGTGTATAACAGGACACCATCTGTTATGTGGGCCAGACACTCCCACTGTTTCTTAACCAGGCAAGCTGGAAACCACCCCACCACACCTTGTTGAAATCTCCACTTCATGCGTGTTGTTACCTGCTGCCAAGTTGGAACCGACATATAGTGGCCCTAAGAGGGCTCTATATGTCCTGTCCAATGATCTCATCCCTACAGAGGATGAGATGGTTGGACAGTGTCACCGAAGCTACCAACATGAATTTGACCCAACAGGGCTCTCAAAGTGAGAGATTTAAGGAGTGGCTTTACCAGTTCCAGCTCACAAGAAGGACAGATCCTGGAGCTGAGGCTCCAATACTTTGGCTATTTCATAAGAAGAATCCCTGGAAAAGACCCTGATGTTGGGAAAGTGTGAAGCGAATAGGAGAAGGGGACGAGAGAGGACGAGATGGTTGCACAGTGTCATCAAAGATACCAACATGAATTTAACTCAACTCCGGGAGGCAGTACAGGACAGGAGGGCCTGGCATGCTCTGGTCCATGGGGTCACGAAGAGTCGAACAAGACTAAAGGACTAAACAACAATTACCAGTTCCACTCCCCCAGTCAGTATCCAAGGCAGAGCCGGGATTCGAACCTTGGTCTCTAGAGTTCCAGCACTCTACCCCCTACTATCACAGCGGGTATCCTCGAATTCAGAGAGACAAGGATACTCCGCCCTCCTTTTCATCTCGCCTCCCCCCCGTTTCCAGGGTGACTACTGGGGCGAGGGGTGCGCGGTTTCTATTAGATGCGCGATGCTTGGTCCGGGCGGGAGGTGCGTGTGTGTGTGTGTGTGTGGGGGGGGAAAGGTTTCGAGGACGCCTTACCTGCAAGGGCTCCGGCGGCGGCGGGGGCGGCAGCAGCTTGCTGCTTTCCGAACCGAAAGTGAAGCTTTCCTCATGTGCTTCTCAGAGGCCCCCCTCCCACCCCCGGTCCTTTCCTTTCCGTCCGCCAATTCGCGCTACAGCGCGTCCCGTGACGAAGTCGGAGCCGGGGTCCGTTGAGGCAAGGGGGACCAAGCGGCCCCCTTTTCTCCCTCCAGCCTGGCGCTCACGCCCCAATCCATCGAGCCTTGTTTTAGGATTGCATTTGGCGGCCCGCCAAAGCAGCGAGCCGAGCGCTGCCTTCGCAGCGTGTGCGTATGTTTAATGCAAGCGGCAATGGAAGGAGGGCGGGGCGGGGCTCCTGGCCTCCTTTTCCCTCACAAGCCGGTCAGGGACGCCGCGTTAGGGATGCTCTCAGGGCGGGAGCCCCACGGGGCCGACGCCTTAAACACAAAAGGGGGAGCGCCCACCCACTGAGGGGGTGTTTCCGTGGCACTCTGCTACCCGAGAGGGGCGAGTTGTGTCCTCCTTTGGGTACTCGGCGAAACGGGTGTGCTTCCGTGGCGTTGCGCAGGGACGTCCGCACCCGTTTGCCAGAGGACGGCCATCACCTGCGCTACTCCAACCTGCCGCCCAAAAGGAAACAACGTTCACTTAAGGCAGTGGTGTCGAACTGTGGCCTTTGGAACAAATGCTAGGATTCAGGCTTGCCCGAGTCGTGCCACTAAACCGGCCTGCTCGCTGCTGCAGAAAACTGGCACTAACTTTGTTTGCATAGCGCCCTTAGTGCAAGGTCCTACTCTGGCCTTTCCTAGGATGGACAACAGGGTCTGTTGGTAGCACTGCCTGGTAACGTCAGCAAATCAGCCAAGAGCCTCCTCTGCTGTTAGGTGTTGTCAACAACAGCAAAGTGACTTATGGCGACCCCATGAATTGAGTAACCTTCAAAATGTTCTGTCATTAACAACTCTGCTTAGGTCCTGGCAAACAGGAGGCTGTCGCTTCCTTCATTGTGTTAACCCATTTGGTATTTGGCCCTCCTCTTTTCCTGCTGCTCCCTAACAGTAGTTAGTTATGTCCCCTCAACTTGGGACCAACTTAGAGCTGGGTTGGTTGCAAGGTAAGTAAGGTTTAAGGGGAGGTCTTACCAGTTATGTTCTCCCAGAGAGTTTCCATGAAGATTTGAACCCAGCTCTGCAAGGGAGCTGGTCCATCACTCTGCCCACCATATCACACTGGGAAGCCCCCCCTTCAGTTTACCCAGTGTAAAGTAGAGCGGTGATAAGAGAATGTGCTTTTGTATAAAAGACAATAACACCCTTCAGTTTTACCTAGTGCTGTCTTCTAAACAAAAGCATATTACCCTTACACTAGAGCCCATTCTCCATTTTTGCTACCTTGTATTTGCATCCTTGTTTAGAGGTAGACAAATAGCCCTGCTTGTTGACACTGACAAACACTTTTTCTTTATTACAATAAAGGAACAACCACTAGTGTTGCTGTGCCTTAAGGTAGTGTATGAGTAATCTGGCCTTTCTCATCAGATTACTAATAACCATGTTCAAACCCATCCACAAACTCAAACACAGGTTGCAAAAAAAAATGACATGTCATAAAAAATCCTCCCTGTAGATCACTCTTGAGAAGCATTCTCACAACTGCAATGTTTGCACAGTCAACATGCAAACAAAACCTGGTGTTTACTTCTTAGTTGACTAGTTACTGTACTAAACCTTGGTAGGCCAATTTGCAACTCACAAAGTTGTGAAACAGTATTAGAGGTCACACAAACATATTTTAATACTTAATTGTGAAGCCACCAGCTTTGCTTCCTCCAGGGAATCAAAACAAAGAGAAAATGGGAACTTACATTTCCAACTTGCATAAACATCATCTGATGTAAACCCAGTTCCCCATTAAAATCTATTTAATGGGGAAAAGAATCACTACCTTGCAAAAACTGTCCATAGGAGACATTGTCTTGCAAAACACAGTTGCCCATACCATATTGGGGAGAAGCAATCCCCTTGCCTGCACTGCCTTTGGAAATGTAGTGGGCCTCAGATAGCCTTCCCCCTCTTTAGGAAAGAAAGAGGATGAAAGACCTGCTGGTTCCTAATAATGGTGATTCCTTTTGCCCTGATTCTTTACCACAGAGAGAAAAAAACAATGCATCACCAGGATTTGCTGCCTTTGCAATAGATCCTGATATAGAGAAATAGAAGTCTGGAATAACCAGGGAAATCACAAAGGCAACCCCAACTAACATAAACTACTATACACAAATTGAACTCTTCACATTTGGGGAAATCATAGAGATTAGCAACATACCAAAAATTCAATGAATAAGACTCCCCCTAGGAAAACCCCTTTTATAACATGGTATTTCCCTTGCAAGATCTAAGAGAAATGGCCCTTGCACCTCATACCCCCTTCTGTCCCCTGACCCCCCCAAGGCATGGTGACCGCCTGGTTGCACCTCCCACTCATTACAGGGCTGCACAGCCCCAGTCCTGCCAGAGGCCAAGAGAGCTCCACAGTGTTGTGGGGTGCCCTGTGGGACCCCCATCAGGGGCTAGGTGTTCCTCCCACAATCCTCTAGTGCACAGGTATTAGCATATGCTAATACCTGTGCACTAGAGGATTGTGGGAGGAACACCTAGCCCCTGATGGGGGGTCCTGCAGGGCCCCAAAACACTGAGGAACTCTCTTGGCCTCTGGCAGGACTGGGGCTGTGCAGCCCTGTACTGAGTGGGAGGGGCAGCTGGGGGTCACCATGCCTTGGGGGGGTCAGGGGACAGAAGGGGGTAGGAGGTGAAAGGGCCATTTTAACTCATACCTTGTAGGGAAAACTTTGTTTAGTTGTGCCTGACTTCAGAAAACACCAGTTCTTTCTATCTTCCATTGTCTTGTGGAGTTGGTTCAAGTTTTTGTTGGTTGCTTCAATAACACTATCCAATCATCTTGTTCTCTGTTGTCTTTTTTTCACACTTTACCAGCATTAAGGTCTTTTCCAGGAAGTCTTTTCTTCTCATGAGTATTGGAGCCTCAGCTTCAGGATCTGTCCTTCCAGTGAGCACCCAGGGTTGATTTTCTTTAAAATGGATAGGTTTGTTTTCCTTGCAGTCCAGGGGACTCTCAAGAGCCTCTTCCAGCACCACAATTCAAAAGTGTCAGTTCTTTGGCGGTCAGCTTTCTAGGTACATTACACATTACATGGTGCAGGGGAAATACCATGTCATAAAAGTGATTTTCCCAGGGGGAGGCTCATCTATTGCACTTCAGGTATGCTGCTAAACCCTATGATTTCCCCAAATGTGGGGAACTCAACTGCATAATTTGTGTTAATGGGGGATTCCCCTTGTGATTTCCCTGGTGTTTTTACAATCTCTTTACCTTTTGGTTCCTGGCTGTTTTCACCATTCTCTACCATGTAAATTTGCAGCTATAGCCCCATTGGCAATGCTTTGCAAGATGGTTTTTTCTCCCATTGAAGCACATTAATTACATAAGACCTGCTTTTTTATTCCAAAAAAGGGGGGGAGAATGTGTATGCTGTTATTTTTCCATGAGGCAGACCCTGGAAAGCTGGCAGCATATACTTTCTCCCCCACTTTTTTGGGATAAAAAAGTAGGTCTTATGTAATTAATATGTGTTCCAATGGGGGGGGGACCGTCTTGCGAAACAGGGTAAAACAAAAAACAAAAAAAGTCTTGCGAGGCAAGGACCCAAACATTGTCCAGTGAAAATTACCCATAGGAACAATCATTTTGCGAAGCGTAACATCGCTCAAAAAAGTCATCGTCTAGCGAATTCATTTGAGAGGTAGTCGTTTAGCGAGGCACCATTGTATTGCTCCAAACAAGCCAAATGGCAAAGTCTTTCATAGCACAAGAATGGATCTGTTCAAGCTTGCATTTTTAGTTTTGTTGCTTGATTTTACTTTTACCAAAATAAAAAGAAAATTTGCCTGAAAATATTTAGAAACATGTTGAAGTCACTGTGGTGCAAGTACTTAAACATAGAATGATGGAGTTTTGTGATAATAAAATATGGAGGAGAGCTATCTACAGTGCCTTGAACTAACTGGAAAAAATACATTAGCAACTAATAATAAAATTCATGTGATAAAGGATATTTTGATAGACCTAAAATTCTGCCTTTGTACTGCATCTCAAACTATTAAAGTGCTGTAATTAACTACCTGAATCGGAGCTCACAGGGAGGATTTTTATGACGTCATTTTTTTCCCTACAACCTATGCTTGCGTTTGTGGATGGGTTTGAGCATGGTTAAGAGTAATCTAACGAGAAAGGCCAGATTACTCATAAACATGTTTGAACTGCTTATATGTTCAAATGTAAGCTGCAGAGAAAATATGAAATGTCATGGAAATCCTCTCCCTAGATAACTGTTTGGCTGTTTCTGCCCTCATAGCTAGTTTGTGGTGTGCAATGGAGTCAGCTATTGTAACCTGAGGCATTTGAAATTATTTGGCACTATATATCTATCATTAATTCTCAAGTTACCTGTTTCTAGCCTCTGAAGGATAGTTCTTATTGTGCGTCCACCATGTGATGATTCCCTCCATTAATAAACATCAACAGGCTGATGTAAACTGAAGTTTATTTTTTCATTTCTTGGCTCCAAGCAATATAGAACAGATCACATTAAAAGCTTAACTAGTATTAATTCCACCCTGAAGGTTAGTTACAGCAGAAAAATATTCAATATTATCTGGAAATAAGCTTAGATTGCATATCCAGTGCTTGGTTCTGTTCTTTCTTTTTTCTGCCAGTAATGATGTATTCTTGTTTTTTTTTTAAGACTTCAAAAAATTAATATGTTCCTTTAGGAAAGTGCTGGGCTAACATAGACCAAAGAGGCCTGTTGATCTCAAGCCTATTGCGGTAAGAGAAAATTCTACCACTTAGTAGAGATACTCAGAAATCAGAAGGAACTATAACTTGGCAGGGACTCATGCCACTTTTGGAAATGCAGGAGAGCTTTTTTGAAGGAAGGCACAAAAAAGTAGGAACGCCAGTTCAAACCATCAGGTGATGCAGCCGACTTCAGACCCCCAGCGTTTGGGGGTCCACACTGGTTCCCAGCAGTGCATTGCCAGCTTTCACAATCTCCACCAGGCAAGGTGCTGTAGAGAGAGAATTTGAGAGATATTTGCAAGACTTGCGCAAGACAGGACCCTTCGGAGGTTATTATTCATGCACTTGTGATAGACCAGAAACCTGATAATGCACAGAACAGTGACAATGACTCAACTGGGGTTTCAACGAGCAGGGCTGCTTGACCTTTCTTCAGGAAATAAGAGCCTTAATGAGGGATTAATTGGCCCCAGTAGGTTTGAAGGGGATGCAGATGGAGCCTTCTTTTCATAATATCGAACTCTTTCTACTCTTTGTGATGCCCTCCTATTCTTCCTCGCCCCATTCTCAGTTCTCCCTCACCATCTTACCGGCCGTTGCGTGGAGCCAGTTGAGAGCTTTCATTTCTAGAAGCTCCCACTCGTCTTTCTGCTCCAAAGCCTTGGAGTGGAGCCACAGGAGAGCCAGTACTGTCGCCCACACATTCTGGGCCACCTGGGGGTGAGAGGAGGAGGACAAAAGGCACAGTGGATACTTGCACATTTACTGGACTTGTATAGACATAAATGCCTGGTCAGTTTTAAGGAGAGCAAGTAACAGTGAAATGTGGCTTTCTAGTCCATGACCCACGGACCTGAAACTGCTTGGATTTGGATTTGCAATCCATGGTCTGAAATGACAAAGGTTAGAGCCATTTCTATGGAATCTGAACTTGGAAACTTTTTGTGCGTGTGGGCGAGGGGATGCTGTGTAATTCGTGGATATTCCCCAGTCAGTGGACATGCTAACTGGAAGGTTATCTTAGAATTCCAGAGCTGAAAGGGACCTTATGGATCAATGAGTGCAGCCCCTGTCAAGGAGGCACAATGGGGGAATTGAGCTCCCAACCTTTGGTTCTGCAGCCAGAGACCTAAACTACTGGGCTATCCAGCAGTTCTAGGTATGAGAGCAGGAATACAATACAAAAGAAAAGAGGTTTTACCAAGCTCTGCATGGAACAAACCTTAGCAAAGGTACCTTTCTGCCAACATCTCCAATTTGTCTGTTTATAAGGTGACCTTTCTCATGCTGAAGTTTCAGACACCCATTTTCTGTTACTCATAGAAACTGAGAGCTAGCACAGTGTACAGTGATGCCTCGCTTAACGGGTGCTCTGTTGACAACAGAATCGCTAGACGTTGATGTTTTTGTGATCGCAAAATGATGTTCCCTATGGGGGAATTTTCCTTTGCGATTATCAGTTCCCTGCTTCGGGAACCGATCATTGCAAAGCGATGATTTTCGGCCAGCTGATCGGCAGTTTCAAAATGGCAGCCAGGTAAACAAAATGGCCGCCCGCTCTTTTCTGGCACGGATTCCTTGCTGCACAGGCAGTGAAAATGGCCGCGCTATGGAGGATCTTCGCTGGACTGTGAGTTTCAAGCCCCTAAGAAAGCATTAATCAGGTTTAATGCATTTCTAATGGCTTTTTAAAATCGCATTATGTTTTCATTTTACAGCAATTTTGCTGGAACGAATTAACGTCGTAATGCGAGGCACCACTGTAGTTAAGACTGCTGGACTACAACTCAGGAGACCCGGGTTCAAATCCCTGTTTGGCCATGGAAACCCAAGAAGGGGTGGTAAGAGGAAACTTCTTGAACATCTCACATACTCTGACAACCTTACTAGGTTCTCCATAACAACAGAAACAAATATTAAACTTGACACAAGGCAAGAAGCAGCAGGAACTGAGCCGTTTGCCAGTAAGAGCAATCTGTAATTCTTAGCTCTGATCTCTAAGCATGGCCTTTTAAGATCACAAGTGGTTGGTCAGATAAACCAGGACCTCCCCTGAACAGGGTAGAAGCTACCTGTCATAAACTTACCTGGGCAGGTATTTTGCTCAGTATCTCTGCCTCACTCAGGCCTAGGATGCTGGCCAGGTTAGAAGCCAGAGGCCATGATCCATTGGCATTCTGAAGGGAAACTAGGTGCAAGAGTGGTGATTCTTCCTCCTTGGGGCTTGGCTTTTCTTCATCAAAACTTTGTGGAGCTGCTGACATGGCCACTGTGGAATATAATGTCACAATGAGTGCTTACACATTAAAATTCTTCACTAGCATCACTATACACATTTTGCTTCTCATGCTAATGACTGAAATTCAGATTGGATCGCTGTATAGTAGGACCCCTGTTAACTGCAGGGGATTGGTTCGAAGTCCTTCCACAGATGCCGAAAAACATGGATTACTATTTTAATAAGGAACCCTGTACTGTACTGTATATTGCATGGTCTCTGACAAGTGGCCAGTTCTGGTAACTGCATCATGAAACATAAATATTAAGGTGGATTTTTCTTTTAATATATTTAATATTTTCAGACTGCAGGTAAGTGAATCAGCAGATCCTGATCCTGCAGATAAGGGGACTCCTACTGTATTTGAAATCTAGAGACAGACAGATTTCACATTCATCTTGCACAATGCTTCGGCAATTGTCCTCTCGCCCATATCCAAGGATACTCATCTCAAGCATTACTTGAAGAGTCACACAGCACACAATCCAACTGGTAGAGACAACAAAAGACGGAGGGGGGATTTTCGCTTCGGTGCAGCTTGCCCATATGGCAGATCCCCCACCATTTCCCAAATGCCCCACCACCTCAGCCTTAAGATCTAAGAAAGCTTTCACATACATTACCTTCAGGGGGAGATGATGAACTGTAACATGCAACTGTGGAGACAGAAAAGGAGGGATTTTGCTGTGATACATTTTTCCCACTCATTATCATCATCTTAGAACTGCAGAGCTGGAAGGCACCCTACGTACGGATAACTGAATCCAGCCCCTGTCATGGAGGCCCAATGGGGAACTGAACTCTCAACCTCTGGCTGTGCAGCCAGATGCCCAAGTCACTGAACTATCCAGCAGTTCTGGTGAATGAGTATACTTATCATCTACCTAGGGAATATACTTTTCAAAAAGGATCTCTTGTGTTTTCATGCATCAATTTGGGATAGGTTTGGACTGTCAGAACAAAGCTGACCACACACTTAATAGACCTCGCCACCCATTATCTACCAGTAAATTTCCAGTCAGTTCTTGGCATTTCTTACATGCAGAAAATGCCCAGGGATCTCCTCAAGTCAGGGTGGGTCTCTGTGGATCCCCCCTTCTATCCTTTCCCTTGAAAGTTGGTGCCCCCTTTTGCCCACTTCCCTGTTCAAAAACTTCCAAGACCTGAAGAGATTAGGGTGCAATCCAGGCTTATAAAGAAGTGTCCCACGGACCGATTCTACGTCTAGTTCACAATTAATAATTACACCCACAAACTAATAAGTATAGAGTTTGGCTCTTCCCATTCAGATCGTACAGACAGCCCACTGTGACGCCATGGGTTTCCTTACCTGTATGCTGTTTCCGGCGTGAAATTTTTAAATGCCTCGGCGCTGCCTTTGCCGCCCCGAACCCTAGCGCTCCAGGTGAATATTCATTTCTAGCACCCAATGCTGGCATTGAACACATCATTGGTTGAGGCACTGAATACATTGCACACATAAAGCCAGATCCTTGGGAGAAACAAAAACAGAGCAATAATGAGGGGCATTATTGGCGCTCAAGGAGAAAGAAAAGTTCCGTTTCATTTGTATTCCACCATACTCCTACTGCGCTGAAGGCAGGGAAACTGTAGCCTTCGGCATGACTACAGCCCACCAGTGGCTACAGCTGCTTAGAGTTGACAGTCCAACCTCAAGGGCCACAGGTTCACTACTGAGGGGGGGGATACAAACAGCCCCCCCCGGGAATGCAAACAGCCCCCCCCCGGTATCCTCCTTGAATGATCTATTTCTGCTCCAAAAGACCCCTAGTGTCCTCGTGAGTCACTGGGAAGCAATTCTGCCCTGTTGGGGGGAGGGCCTCTGCACCCCAGCTCTGCTACTCCTGAAAACATTTGTTGGTTTGTTTTCAGAATATCAGACATGAGGCAGCACAGCTCCCTCCTCCATTAACCCCCTCCCCCGCTGCTATTTAAAGAAAAATGGAAGGGGTCCATCCTAAGCACGGACTCTTGTCAACTGAGGCAAGGCACAACGCAAACACTTTGGAAAAGCTTGAGGAGAAGTATTTATCTACACTGGTAAACAGTACATAGCGGTTTGATTTGAGTTTAAATGGGATTCCTGAGATTTGAAGTTCATCAAGGTACTCAATATTCTGTCTTTAAGGAACTCAAGCACACTCCTGTGGACTATAGCCCTAGAGTAGGGGTTCCCAACCTTGGCTAATCCAGTTGTTCTTGGACTGCAACTCCCAGAAGCCTTCACCACCAGCCGTGGTGAAGGGGGTTTCTGGGAGTTGCAGTTCAAGAACACCTGAGTTACCCAAGGTTGGGAACTACTGCACTAGAGCTATCCAGCTTTAAGTGGCACCGAAGGTTTTCTCTCTTGGGGGCTGCTTTTGTAACTATCTTCTGCTATATTGTGTTTTTAATGGTACAGTGGGGTCTCGACTTACGAACTTAATCCGTATTGGAAGGCAGTTCTCAGGTCGAAAAGTTCTTAAGTCGAATCTGCATTTCCCATAGGAATACATTGAAAACCATTTAATCCGTATCTGCTCTTTTTGTCCATAGAAACTAATGGGAAGCTGCTATTCCACCTTATGCCACTAGAGGGGGATATATTTTTTCTTTTTTTCTTTTAACCTAAGATGACTTAGCTTTAAAAAAAAGGGAAAAAAAGAGTTCGCAACTCGAATCTGATCGAAGGTTTTCTCTCTTGAGGGCTGCTTTTGATAATTTGTTTAACTATCTTCTGATACATTGTGTTTTTAATGGTATCTTTTTTTCTTTTTTTTAAAAAATCACATTGTGAGTACAGATGGGCAAAACCCGGTTCGTCCCAGTTTGTACAGGTAGCAGCCCAGGTGCTATTGTCACCAAGAAAAAAAATCTTCCACACGGTGCCAACACATAACATGGCCTTCTGTTTGACCTGATACATTGTGTTTTTAATGGTATCTTTTTTTCTTTTTTAAAAAAAATCACATTGTGAGTACAGATGGGCAAAACCCGGTTCGTCCCAGTTTGTACAGGTAGCAGCCCAGGTGCTATTGTCACCAAGAAAAAAATCTTCCAGACGGTGCCAACACATAACATGGTCTTCTGTTTGACTGCCTCCACCCATTGGCGATTGGCGCCACCTCATGGGCACACCCTTCAACTCACCTCCATATGCAAGCGGGATGTTTCTGCGGGTGAGGGACCCCTGAAGTGGCTTGCCCAGCTCCGTGTTGACTCCTATGTAGGCTGTCTGTGAACACACCACCCCAGAACTCAGGCTCGTCTCCAGTGCCAGGCGTTTCTTCCCCTCATCTTCGTTCCCCTCAAGATGCTGCAGAAGGACCTGCGCCGCCAGGCGGTGAATAGGAAGCCTGGGGGTGGTTTGTGAGGGGGAGTTAGTGGGGGGGGGGTAAGCATGAGAGATGGAGAGAGAAAGATTTTTTTTTTAAAAAAAAAAGACTCTTCTGTATAGCTTGTAATGGAAAGTCCACAGCCTTTGCACAAGAAGCCCCACAGCTTGAAACCTGGAAAACCTTTTCTGTTTGTTTTTCAATTTACTCATGGCTTTGCCCTATACTCCAGAGGGTGTTTCTCTGGCCTGACCACACAAGAATGGCTTTCACCTGTGTTTGCCTAAAACCACCTGCTAGTTGCAACTGCTTTTAAGTGGCATTGAAATCCCACTGATTCACTAGTGTACCCGGGAATATCAATGGGTTTCAAGCCAGATTCAAGCCTTAATGTGCCTTGTTTGGGACCCCAATCTAGCCTGTATAGGTTGTTCTGATACCCTATTGCCTCATGAGGGAAAACGTCTGCTTTATTCATCTTCTCTACACAAGGACTATGCTCACCCAGTGTTCAGAGGCCTGGTGAGGCCTGGCTGTGTGGGTCACACAACACAATAAGGAAAATTTCCTGAGAATCCTGGCTAAACAAACAATCTGCATGCACCCTGTTCACTCCTGCTTCCTAGTGTGGATGCTCAATGAAGCCCCCAAAAAGTGAGCAACTATAAGGGTTGACCTCCATTCCAAACTTTTGCCATGTCCCCCCCCTTTCACAAATTAAGGCAGCCCACCAGTTTTGTTCAAATTTTACAAATCCTTGCTTGTTTGATACTAGCCAAGCCAGAATGTCAGTTTTGACAAATAAGGCAAGCATGCTGCCTATGCAACATGCAGCTCCATCTGGAGAATCCTGGCTTAGTGGGATCGTAACCCCAGTCGAGGGGTGTGTGTGATGTCATCACCCTAAGATGGCAGACTGGAGTTCTGTCCCTCATGAAAGTGAAAGTGGCTCAGCCCACACAAAGCAGTGCTAAATGAGTGGGTTTAGTGGACATTTTAGCTTCCCACAATTCTGTCCCCAAACTTTTGCTCTGTTGTAGAAAACAAGGCTGGCCCAAGTCCTTTAGCAGCTTTGGCTGAATGACAAGATGATGTGATCACTCTTGTCTAGGAGGTTCGAGCTACGTGGGAAGAGGGCTGGGTGTATGGTACCCACAGCTCTGTCCTTTTAGTACACTGCCATCATCTTTCCCTCACCCCGAGCATCTCCCACGTCGGTTGATGCCTTATGCCACCTAAGTGTAGGTCCAAACCTGATGGAAAATACAATAGGCACCTGGCAAGACCACTGCCCACAATGACTACAATGAGACCCTGTCAGGGACCAGAAGATGAGGAGGCCCTATCAGGGGATATATTTTCCAGAGGCCCTGAAAACCTGATGCACTTACTATGCATTATCCATTCCATATTTACATATGCATGCTAAACATGATGAAACATTTATGGTTTTAGCCTGAAGCCCCAGACATGGAACTGAAAGACGGTGGTTCCCAAAGGGGAGCCACGATTCCTAGCTTTTCAACTCCACTATCAAATATTCTACAATGAGGAATCCCAAATGCTGTCTGTAAGGAAGCGAATTTCCATCATCTTTGACAAAGACAGTGGAGGTCTACAAAAGTGGTCTCACCTGTCCTTCTCCTGAGCGTGGAGTGAGAATGTTGCCGTCTCTGTGAAAGTCTGGTCTTGGAAGGTGTAGTGAAGGACAGCTTTGCCTGTCATGGAGTCTGTAGGCTGCAAAAAACACTGAAGCATCAGGGCAGGGAAGAATGCCTTGTGGGAGAAGGACATTCTGGATTGTGGATTCTCTAGAGGCCGTCTAAATTGCTTTAGCAAAGGCTGGCCCCATTTGGTCAACTGAGAATGGAAAGCAACGTTTCTTCTCTTAGGAATTTAGTGCGGGGTTACTTGCCTGAAGCTGCCCACAAATCTGGGCATAGATGAGGCAACGCTGTCCCTGGAAGATGACCTGAGGTCCTGATCCCACTAGCATGGCCTCAAGACTAGAAGGCAAGTGCCAGTTGAGGGAAATCTTTGTCACTGCTGGCTGGAGGGCCTTCTTCAAAGACTGCAGGGCCTGCAAGAAGACAGCGGTCTTACAATATGGGTGGGAGAGAACCCGGACTCTTGTGTAGAAACAAACAACTCAACACATACACATATATCCAAGTCTTCAACTCATATGGACCAAGATTCTGCCTAAAACTGTGTGGATACCTTTTGAAATGAACTGGAAAAAACAGTTAAATAAGGGGCCCTCTTTTTAAAATTTCTTATCTTTTGTACAATTTTGGAAAGCCCTTTGGGTATTCAGGGAGAACTAAATTCATGTTAAACCACAGAGGCTGAAAACTTATTTTTTGACCAGTAATTTCTTACGTGTCTCACTACAAATCCATCACGCATTATTTGTTAATATCAACTGCCATCCCCTCCAAAGCAGCTTGTTGCTACTCCTTATTTGTTTCGGTGGTGGTGAGGACATAATATTGATAAGGGTAAACAAACACCACACTTCAAGAAGGATGCCAACAAATTGGAACAAGTTCAGAAGAGGGCAACAAGGATGATCAGGGCGGCCGGAAACCAAGTCTTATGATGAAAAACTGAAAGAACTAGGCATGTTTAGCCTTAAGAAAAGAAAATCGAGGGGAGACGTGATAGCACTTTTCAAATACTTGAAAGGTTGTCATACAGAGGAGGGACAGGATCTGTTCTTGATCATCCCTGAGTGCAGGACATGCAACAATAGGCTCAAGTTACAGGAAGCCAGATTTCGGTTGAATATCAGGAAAAAACTTCCAAACTGTTAGAGCAGTACGACAGTAGAACCAATGGTGAGTGGTGAGCACTCCAGCACTGGAGGCATTTGGAAAAATTTAGACAATCATCTGGCAGGTATCATTTGATTTGTACTCCTGCAATGAGCATGGGGTTGGATTCAATGGCCTTATAGGCCCCTTCCAATTTCATGACTCTATGATTTTATGTTCCTTATTACATCAAAAAGGTAGCATCACTCCAGTTTTGAAATGTAACTTTAAGAGACTCTCCTCATTCTGAAAAGCAATTTGTAACAGTTAACTGCTGACTTGATATCCATCGCTCTGTTCAACTAATATAAGAATGCCAATGATTTGGGTAATGATCACCATCTCCCCAATAAAAGCATGGAAGCATTGTTTCCACTAAATCTGTTCAAAGATACATTTTTTTAAAAAATGGATCTAGTGGTTCCCAACCATGGATTCCCATATGGTCGTGGACTACAACTTCCAAAAATCCTGGCCAGCACAGCTAGTGGCGAAGGCTTCTGAGAATATTAGTCCAAGAAAATCTGGGGACCCAGGTTTGGGAACTACTGGTCTAGATGTACATCCAGTGGGCATTATAAGTTGTGCAATGTTTAAGAAGGCATCCAGGTAAAGAGTGAGAGGTAAAGAGGTAAAGAGGAGAAAAGTGAGCCAAAAGACAGTCTAAGGATACCTTTCTTTAAGCCCTGGTCTCTCTGGCATCAGACAGGCAGTGACAGATCTTGTTTATTCTGGTTTCATCCAGGCTCTTTAAATTAAGCTCATGCCCATTTTGGGGGCCGGGGGCAAGGGAAGGAAGGAGGTCAAGGGGGAAAGGTCACGGCTCCTTTAATCTCACCTTGGCTTGCATGCGCTCTTTGCCCGTGATGAACTCCGCACTGCCGCCAGCCGCTCGAGCGATGCCTTTGATAAGAGCTGTGGAGGCACCTTCGCCAATACCAAAAGAAAAGCACCTGTTTGGGGGCACGAGGAGAAAGAGATCGGGTCAAAGAAGGTGACACAAGCCAAGAATGCAAACCAGAAGGCAAACTTATATTCCTTTCTTGCCCCTTACCTGTGAGAGCTGCTGTGGTGTTGAACTTCAGCAATGACCTTGTCTGTATTAGACACTTCACCATCAGTGAAGACAAAAAGCTGGGAAGAGTTGGGGTGTAAGAGAGATCAAAGATTATCTTAGCCATGAAGATGGAGAACAGGCCAATTCCATGCAACCTCCCTACATCCCTGTGAGCTTGGAAGATGTCGATCCTTCCCAAACACAGAAAAAGTTGCTTTTTAAGACTGTCATTCCCAGAATACTCCATATTGGCTGGAGGATTTCTGGCACTCTCCTCTTAAAAAACAAAAACAAAACCTTCCTCCATCTCTGATCAATACAAAGAATGTCTCAAGGTATGTTTTGTAAGATGAGGTGATCACTTCAGAAGGATTTTGAGAAGTTGCTACCAAATTCAACACATCAAATATGTCCCCCTTCCTGAAAATCTCCACAGTCAGTATTCTCACACTGAGAGGCAGTGTGAGAATACTGGAGGGTAGGATTGGAATTCAGATCAAGTGTCTAGTGCCCAATGAATCCTGATAGAGTTGTGGTAAGCTTGGGCCAGTCTCTGGCATTCTCAGCCTGATGTACCTCACAGAGTTCTTGTGAGGATTAAACGGGGAGGAGAGTCACACAACACCTAGAGGTTACTGGAGGAAAAGCAGAATGTAAGGGGAGGGGAAAATGTGTGCTTGCTTGTACAGTGGTGCCCCGCATAGCGAGGTTAATCCGTTCCGGATTAACCTTCGCTATGGGGAAACATCGCTAAACGGAATAGGGAAACCCATTGGAATGCATTAAACATCATTTAATGCGTTCCAAATAGGCACAAAACTCCCCGTTCAGCGATGTTCCTCCATAGCGGCAGCCATTTTCGCGCCCTCGGTAAGCGAGGGCAGGGCGCGAAAATGCTGCGCGTGGCTATTTTGGGGCTTCCGGCGGCCATTTTGGAACCGCTGAACAGCTGGTCCCCCGACACCGCAATGCGAAGATCGGTAAGCGAAACGCTTACCGATCTTCGCGATGCGAGTTTTGCCCATTGCGACCGTCGGTATGCCTCCGCATTAGCGATCCCAAAAAAGGGATTGCTATGCGAATTCATCGTTATACGGTGCACTCGTTAAGCGAGGCACCACTGTACATAGGTACCAACAAGTCTAGGATTTGAGAGAGTGGCTAAGGACTACTCACTTCCACACGGACATATGGATTCCAACTTCTCGGGTCACTAACACCCCTGGGCCACATACTTTCATTACTCTTCTGCAAGTATGAGCTTAGTACAAACTTCCATTTTGTACAAAAGGGAAACGGGCCCCAAAGGGAGTCTCAGTCACCTGGCGAGGATGTCCTTCATGGCATGGCTCGCTGTAAATGGCCTTCAGTGGCTGCAGAATCTCAGTTCCCCCCAGATCAGCTTCCAGTTCCTTCACACGCTGAAGCGAGTCTGACATTGTCTCCTGGGTATATTCTACACTCTTCCTGCAGAGGGTGTCAGAGAGTCAAGGTGACTGGGGGCATTTTCTTACATTCAGTCAAGTGTCCTCCCTCCCTGCAACTCTAGCATTTTGAGACTTCACTTCTCATCAGTCCCTGGCAGGTAGACCAATGTGGAGAGATGGTAAGAAAGGAAGGAGGATGCTGGGAGTAGCAATGTGCCAATGTCTAAAAGGCCACTGAATCTCCCATCACGCCTTTCCAGATTCTAGCAACAAATTTAGCCAGTGACTTTCTGAGACAGGCGTTGGAGCTCTGCTTGATAAGTAGAAAGAGAATTCACAGGTAAAGCAGGTTTTCTGTATTCTCTGTTTGAGGCATTACTCCAGTGGGTCACGACAGCACAGTGGTGGAGGCTGAAGGCATTCAAGAGGTGAACTCCAAAATATCTGGAGGCTACAGAATCCCCTGAAACAGAAGCCCCAACTGTATAGGATGCTTTCGTACTCACGGATAGAATGAGTCATATCGGGACCCAAAGCCATAGATGTTGAAATAGCACCCCAGAGGGAGACTCTTCAACAGGAAGATCAGTGTCTCCTGGGATAGGAAGAGGAAAAACCGTAGTTACAGTGGTGCCTCGCAAGATGGGCGCTCCTTTTAACGATGAATCTGCATTACAATAAGGTTTTTGCGATTGCAAAACGACGTTTTGAATGGGGGAATTTCGCTGCGCAATGATCGGTTCCCTCTTTCGGAAACCGATTTTCGCTTCCCGACGGTCAAAACAGCTGATCGCCGGGTTTTCAAAATGGCCACCAGGTGCTCAAAATGGCTCCCCGCTGTGTTTAGGAACCATTTTTCCCTGCACAGGCACCCAAAACCCGCCACCCCTATGGAGGATCTTCGCTGGACGGTGAGTTCTTAGCCGATTGGAACCATTAACCAGGTTTTAATGAGTTTCAATGGCTTTTTTATTTTTGCTTTACATTGTTTTCATTCTACAGCAATTTCGCTGGAACGAATTAACGTCGTAATGCGAGGCACCACTGTACTGAAGATAACACTAAATGATCATTTAAGACCTATTTAATATCACAAGCTCCTGTTCCTCCTAAGGACCCATCCATTCCCAGTATTTCCTAGTGGTCTTCCTGTCCCATGTGATGAAGTGACTGGAATATAGGACTAGAACAGGGGATCCAATCCTCACTGAGCCACAAGCCTCTCTCTTTTTCTCTCATTCTGTAAAATATTTTTACCCCATCTTTCTCCTTAAGAAGGACCTTATGTAGGCAGGCATTCTCTCCAGGCCTGATCTACTTCACAGGGTTGCTGTGAAGATAAAAATGGTTTAGTAGGAAAGAGAGTATCTTGAGTGTCTTGGCATGATCAAAATGACACACCTACAACAGAAAACAATACCTCTTCTCATTTGCCCCCCCGCCTATGTGTTCAATAGCACGTAGAAACCCCTCCTTTCTTCCAGGAGATCCACAATTCCATCTCATCCCTCCCTTGATCTGTGGGGCACCTTGGCACTCTGAATGCGTGATGGCGAATCAGGTGTGTTGTCGGTATGGCAATCCATGCTGCCAGAGCGATCCAGCAGGAAGATGAATTCTCCAGTAGAACTCTGGGCTGGCTTTTCAGCTGGAAAACTGGGGTACATAGTAAGCAGAAGGGCTGGGTCCCCCATCAGTGAACCTGTGGTTTGCAGAAAGCAGGAAGACCCAATAGACATCCTCATCTCCAAGAACCCCTTGCATTTCAGCTTCCAGAACACATTCAGCTCTCCATCCGTAGGCTTAAGCCTTAAGCCAAGAGCACCATAATGTCACTGACTGACAGAATGTAAATGTTCCACCATTAACAGAAGATACACATGGAGTGTGCCAGAACCCAAAACTAGTTTCAATACAGTTTCAATCCACAGCCTGGACAGCCACTGGTAAGGAATGCTGGAAGCTGTAGCCCAACCACATCTGGAAAACCCCATATTTCTCATCCCTGCCGTAGGTTGTGCTCACCTGGGGCAACTCCAGGCTTCCCAGCTTCTAGAATGGCACTGGGTTTATGAACATCCTCGTAATAAATCAGGAGTTCCACATCTCGGTCGAATTGATGCCCTTCGGCCAACGAGACCTTTTGAAAATGAAGACGAGAGACAAAAAAGGATGCAATCTAATGAAATGTCAGTCCCATCAGGGAAGTCTCTCACATCTGCCTTCCATTCTGCAAAATGTAAAAAATATTTTAAGACATTCCTACAGACTGTGCCAATGTTCCCCCCACAAGTTTAGCCAAAGTGACCCTCATAGTGACAATAATGCATTTAATAAATTATAGGAGACTCCTAAAAGTCAGAGGGATTAATGCCTTGTGGAGGCTGAGCAAAATGGCAAAGGGGTGCAGTCTGCCCAACATTTATTTGTAAATGCTCATGCTTAAAGAGGCTGTAAAAGACCTAAGTGGCTGCTCAACCGGTTACTTGGGGAAGACTTCAAGTGGAAGCTGGTAGAAACCAGTTTCATCCAGCCAAATGTTTACCTCAGATATTCTGGGGTCAGAAGTTCAAAAAATGGTATGGTGTACCCAGATTGGACGGTCCTATGCTTTCAGACTCTCTTTGTCCTTTGATGTCTGATTCTGTTATCAGTTTTCTCATTAATGGGATGCTTTGGGATCATTTTGCCAAATAGCGAAATAGAAACATCAGAGAAGTTGGCTGTACAGAGATGTGTTCAAGGTGCACTTCCCGAGCAGGTATACAAGGGCTAGGGATTTGGGCCACTGTTGAGTTTCAGTGTAGACCAGTAGTTCCCGACCTTGGTTCCCCAGAACTTCTTGGACTGCAACTCCCAGAAACCCTGACCAGCATAGCTAGTGGTGATGGCTTCTGGGAGTTTTAGTTCAAGAACATTTGGGGATCCAAAGTTGGGAACCAGTGGTGTAGGCCAAACTCCAAAAAGGGACTGGCCCACAAATGTCTCCCCAGAATCATTCTTCAGGGTCTCCAGAGGTACAGAACCTGTACAAGGCTTCTCTCCATTCTTTTACAGGTTCTGCTTTTGTTTTACTATCTCTTGTCTCTTTAACAATGTTTAGTAAGGACACGGAACTTGTTTTATCAATGGTTAGAAACATGTTGTATAGATTAAGAGCTTAATATGTATTGTAGTTGTATTAATGATTATAAGCTGAACCCAGGTGACACAATGTTAAAT